TTTTTTAATTTGAAGCGAATTTTAGGTCATCTCGTTGTGCTTGTTATAGATAAGTTCACAATATCTTTAATAACTTCCTGTGCAAGTGCATTGAAAATTCATTCTATTCAGTTAAATCAGGGGATTATATTGTGTTCTGCGCATAGCATGTGCAAAATTCCCATTTCTAATTTTGAGGCTTAAACGTTACAAGGTTTTGTCTGTGTGGTATTAGACTTGTAATTATGGTGGCATTTAGCTTTATCAGTGTGTGCAAGTGTGTTTATTAGGAAAGGGGGCCTGGGGTTAGAGGATGAGCAGGGAGGGATTCTTGCGAGACTCCTTTATCCCTGTTCAGATTAGTAAGAGGCCCATATTGTACGTAGATTATAAATAGGGCAGGTAACTTTCAGAAAGCATAAAGAACATTCTTAAGATCACACACCTTGCAGGGACTCATCACCAGAATACACAGTAAGTGTTAAGAAGCAGAAGGAAATGAGGCATGGTATGGAAAACTGTTGATGGTCACCAGTTAGAGATACAAGCACAAGGGAGGAAAAAAGGGTTTATGCTGTTTATCTCTGCTTCAGCTGGCAGGTAGCATGAGGCTGCAAACATCATACGTGTTCAGGAACTATCTGGGGAGTGAATGGTTAACCTGGAATGCTCAAAGGAAGACCCGCGAGAATATAAAATAAAGACAATCATAGAAATCCTAATGGAACTCTCCCTTTAAGTTAAAAAAAAAAAAAAAAAAGCAGTACACAGGAAGAAACAGGATTTAGAAGTAAAGTCAAAGTATATCAATATAATAAAAGGTGAAAACAAAACCCATATGTTGATCAATTAAGGGACATGCTATAGAGCTGCTCCTCCTAGTCTGATAGCTCTTTTTCTCAAGACCTTTGGGTCTATTTCTCTCTGCCTTTATTCTAACCACTGGATAAAGTGTGCATGATTATATTTATCTTAATTTTTGAGAAGATTCTACCACCAGGTAAGTGAGATTGGGGATATATAATGACATTACGTTAGCACATATTTTTGAATTCTACCTGTTAAAAGAAAATGACAACTAATCTTGTTCTGTAGATTTTTACTTGTGATTCTAGAATTGGGCAGCAGTCTGGACCAAACATGGCTCAGAATGCTCTATCTCACCACATGTGCAGGTTATATTTATAGTCAGAGAGAAGGAAGTGACATACAGAAAACGGAAGTGAAGTACAGAGACAGCTCAACTGGTTACAGCTGGGGCCTTATTTGGACGTAATTTGAACAGCTGAAGTCCAGTGATTGGCTGAGGCTCAGCCATTTGTTACTAAGTTAGGTTTTTCAGTTTGTTTAGGTACTGAGTTAGGTTGCAGTGAGGACCTCTTACGGAGGCCTCCTTGGGCCAATTTTAGTTTGATTTAACATACCGAAAGAGCATGACTCCAAAGCACCTCACAGCTCAGTGATTAACCAAAAAGAACTGTGCAAGTTTCCTGTTCAAGTACCCTGAATGGGGTTAATAGCAGAACCTACTCACAGGCCTGCAGTAAGAGCCTCGTGTGTGTAGATGTGTTATTGTTATTATTAACCAGGTGAGGGATTTTTATTTGCCGTTATACACAGACTTTTGCCACAATGCAGTCAATTCACTTCACTTTGTTAAAGACTGCGATACATTTCCCTGAGGCAAAGGTGGCATGTTATTCTAGGTAGTTTGGGCAATTAACACATAATATTAGTATCTAATTAATTAGATGCACATATTGAAATAAACATTAATTAAACAAAGTAGTGGATTTTCAATACAAGATACAAGGCTGGTGAGTTAGATGCATAAGATTGCAATTTTGTAAATACACAAAGAGATTTTTTCAGAAGAACAATAGACTTCCCCATTGCAGTCAGTAGCCTGCTGGCAATTAGGACAGATTGACGATGAGCCTCTTGAGGTGGATCAGAAGTGGAAAAACATGTTGGAGTCTGTCCAGAAGTGATTGTTTTCTTCCATTTAAGGGGAAAGGACAAAGCCAAAAATGAAAATGCTAGTAAATGCAGAAGCCTCTATTTCTACAAAGTAATCCAAGCTTAATAAAGCCCTAAAAAGGAGTCATAAATTTTTAAGTTTTAGCCTTTAAGCAAAAATTTAATAACCTTTGTTAATTGAAAAAAAAAAGACAATATATTTGATCATTGTTTCTTCATCGTTGCTGTATAATTAACTGTGTGCATACATACCATAAAGCTAGAAAGCTAATGTACCACTTCAGGGAAGGAATAAAATAATCATCTCACTCCACCTTTCTTACCTTGATTCATAGCTCAAATATTTCTATTCTTGGAACATTACTGCAGCTTTGGTGCTAAGAAAATTGCTAGCAAAGGAAGAATGATTCTGCAGCCGTTCATCCTCAATTTTTGCACAGTCCCATTGTCTAACTTTGCAATCCCGCCATCTAGTGTTCAAATGTTCTCGGTACTACAGTTCATAAAACGCTTCACTTCATTAAACCCCCGCTAGAGAGAAGCAATGATATAAAATGTAACCAAAATGTTTGTACCCTCATAATATCCTGAAATTTTTTAAAAAAGTAAAAATAATATGGGAAGTAACAAGCAAGTTACCTTAAAAACACTCTCTTGGTGAGAGTCAATGTAATGAATAGACAGGCCAGTGAACCTTTAACATATTTCTTGTTAAATATGTTTCATTGTCTTATTTATTTATTGCATTTATTCATAAATGTCTGACATGTTCTATTTATATAGTCCTACAAATTATACATGACATACTGTGTACATTGAACTATATACTTATTTTACATTTTTATTTTTATATTCTTCTGTCTCTGTACTTACCTATAGCTAACAAAATTATTGTTGACTCTGGAGACAAACAAACCCAACCCAGTTGTGATGGTGGATTGGAAAAGAGTGGAATCAAAAGGTGGAAACAGTTGATTGGAATGTTTGATTGCACTACAAATCCTACCCCAGGCTATGGTTTTGTTACTGCTAGTGACTGTACCTTCAAGGGTCAGATATTTTACTATATAGCAAGAAAAACACAGAGAGCTTTGAAACACATGAAGTAGAGTGATTTACCAGAAAACAAGCAAACAACAACAACAAAAAAACTAGTGTCTTCATTGTCTTACCATTGGGATTATTTTAGGTCTATCTTTAAAAACCAGTGGAAATTATTTTTAGGAATTAATGGGATTGGTTGCAGTTTTCAAGATGTCCCGGAGACATGATTTGTGTTTTCTTTTTATGCCTTTAAAATGACATTTTCCATATTGTCTATCAGTTCAAAATTTTTAAAAGAAAACTTTATTTATTGAATTACCAAAAGAATAAACTTAATTAGTTAAAATAAGCTCTGTCAGATCATCTCCATCATTTAAACATCTGCAGAATAGCTGACAAAATGCCTGTTCTGGACTCCAGTGCCAAGATGGAAAACCTCAGCCCAGAGGTGATGCTGCCTCCTTCTCAGACCTCGCCCACTCCCACTCTGGGCTTCCTCCTTTCCAGCTTTTTGTCAGTTCGAGGACACAAGGCTTCCCCCGACTTTAGGCTCTGTTTTCCTGCCTTGCTTTAATCAGAAACGCTCTCCACCCTTCCCTTCCCTTCAGATCTTGGCGAAAGCACCATTTCCTCAGGGAAGCCCTCCAAACCCTAGATTAGTCCTCTCTTGCAATTAGACAGCACTCGGTAATTTTCCCTGTTACCACTCACCAAACTTCGTAATTACACGCTTGTATTATTATCAGCTTCATGTCTGCTGTCCCCACTAGATTCCAAGTTTGGAGCAGGCTAGAATAATATGGGTTTTTTAAATTTTTTTTTCCAGCTCCTGAGGTTCTAGCCAGTGTATAATACCCAATGCAGAGTATGCATGCAGTAAACACTTGATGAAATCGAACCATGAGCCCAAAATTGAGGACGGAGAAGCCCGCTGCTCCCGCCCATGTAATTTTGGAAAGTGGACTGTGCTTCCATGCCACCGTTGGAATAAAAGAATGTTCTCGGAAGCAGGAAGTGCTCAGTCCTGCATCCCAACTTCCCAAGACACACATCTCTGGGGGCTTGTCACCCGAAGCAGCATGGGACTGAGCTCTGTGTTCTCGCTGCTGAAAGAGTTCCCTGACTCACTCGCCACCACTCTTCCTGACTCCTGGGAATCCACGGCCCTCTCATGCTCCCGCTGAAACACAAAAACAAAACAGCCCCCCCCCCAAGAACACTCTTCTTGTCTTTACTGTCGTACATCTTCCTGGGTAAACAGGGAATAAGGGAATACAGAGGACAAAATGTAAATAAATATTTCAGTAAGTTATCCTGCCACTCTGATATTCAGCAGAGGATAAAGATAAATTATGCACGTTGTATAAAGGATGTGTTTTCATTGTTTATTTCACAGCACTTCTCTTTCTAGAAGACTCTAAGGATTCCCAACTTTCTTAGAATTTTAGGCAAGAAATTACGCTGAGAATCAATCATCTTCACAACCAGCTTTGCTTTAAAAGGGACAGAATGTCATACCAGGCTTCAAGTATCTGTAGCTGGTGACCTCTGTCTTCTCAAAATGAGTCCAACATGAGAGATGAAGTGAGCATTCAGAAGTCATTAATTTTGACACTGAATACACACATACACACACACACATGTAGGTCTGGCACTATTTTGGAAATTGCATTACCATATATATTAAGGTCTGATATATTCTCATTGTTCTCCAAAATTAACACTTTGCTTACCATCAAATACACACAAAAGAAAAGTGCTTGGATTTTAAAATCACACTGAGGATCCTACGTACCCTTCTATGTCCTTCTCCTCCCCACCCATGGTGGTTTATCTAACAGGTACCACGTGAGTGAGTGCTCCCTGGAAACTGGATAGACCCCTTCAGTTGCCAACACGGATAGAGTTCTGACTCTTAAACCTATAGTTGATGAAAAAATAAATAAAACCATATAAAGCTCACTCCAAAAAATATCTTCACACTTCTATCTCCACAGCAACACAGATGTACACACAGTGGCATCGCTTCTTAAATTGTACCTCCGGGAGCTTCCAGAACCAGTTATTCCTTACGCAAAGTATGAAGACTTTTTGTCATGTGCCAAGCTGCTGAGCAAGGAGGAGGAAGCAGTAAGTTGCTGCATTTATTTCCCTATAAGCTTTTGTTTTCACCAGTGTTCTTCATTTTTAAATTGCAAATGTCCTTTTGCTCTGTCCTTGGATTGTTGTCCACTGCACAAACGTTGAGACTTTCCATACATCCCTCAAGTGCTATCTTTGACCCCCTCTCTGATCAAAAAGAAGAATATGGCAGAACACATGCAATCACCACTCCCTGCCACTTTTTTTTTTTTTTTTTGAGACAGAGTCTCACTTTGTTGCCCAGGCTAGAGTGCTGTGGCATCAGCGTAGCTCACAGCAACCTCAAACTCCTGGGTTTAAGCAATCCTTCTGCCTCAGCCTCCCGAGTAGCTGGGACTACAGGCATGCACCACCATGCCTAGCTCATTTTTTCTATCTATATTAGTTGGCCAATTAATTTCTTTCTATTTATAATAGAGACAGGGTCTCGCTCTTGCTCAGGCTGGTTTTGAACTCCTGACCTCGAGCAATCCTCCCGACTCGGCCTCCCAGAGTGCTAGGATTACAGGCGTACTCCCTGCCACTTTGCTCCCCTGAAAGGTTAAATATGATGCTGCGTCAGGCCACACATTTCGTAAAAAGTGGGTGCCTTGTGTCATAATCCCCTTCTCATTGTATGCCCCCCAAACCCCCCTCAAACAATGGCCTGTGTACCAAATCCTACCTACCGCCTGTTTTTTAAAACAGCTTTATTAAGATATAATTCATATACCATATAATCACCCATTTAAAGCGTGAAATTTGGTGCTTTTTGGTTTATTCTCAGACTTGTGCGACCATCACCAAAATTTTATTTTAGAATAATTATAATGTTTTCATTACCTCAAAACAAACCCCATACCCTCTTCCCATTCTCCTCTTTCCCCAGCTCTTGGCAACTGCTGTTCTATTTTCTGTCCCTATAGATCTGCTTATTCTGGACATTTCATATAAATGGAATAATTTAATAGATTGTTTTGTTGTGACTGGCTTTTTTCACTGTTTCCAAGGTTCATCCATGTTGTTTCAGTATTTCACCCTTCTGTTTCCAAATGATATTTCATTAGTCAAACAGAACATTTGTTTCCATTGTTTGGCTGTTGTGCACAATGCTGCTGATGAACAGCATGTCACAAGTTTTGCATGGATACATGCTTTTATTTTTCTTGTGCATATACCTAAAAGGTAGAATTACAGGGCCACATGTAACTCTGTATTTCCCAAAAAGACTCCATCATTTTAAATTCCTACCAGCAATATTGTAAAGGTTCCAATTTCTCCACATCTTTGCCATCACTTATTATCTGTCTTTTTTGTCACAGCCATCCTGATGAGAGTGAAGTGGTATCTCATCGAGGTTCAATGGCATTTCCCTGATGGCTAGTGATGAACATCTTTTCATGTACTTATTGACTATTAGAGTATTTTCTTTGGGGAAATATCTATTCAGGTCGTTTCCCATTTTAATTGTGTTGTCTTATTATTATTGAGTTGAAAGAGTTTATATAGTTTCCTTACAAGTCCGTTATCAGATTTATGATGTGCAAATATTTGCTCCCATTCTGTGGGTTATCTCTTCATTTTCCTGATGATGACCTTTGAAACACAAAATTTTTTAATTTTGGTGAAGTCCAATTTATCTGTCTTTCTTTTGTAACTTGTGCTTTTTGTGTCATACCTAAGAAGCCTTTGCTTAACTCATGGTCATAAAGAATTACTCCTATATTTTCTTCTCAGGCTTTTATAGCTTCAACTCTTACACTTAGGTTTATGATCGATTTTGAGTTCATTTTTGTTTATGGTGTGAAGGGACCAAATTCATTCTTTTGCATGTGGACAACCAGTTGTCTCAGCATCATTTGTTAAAAGACAATCTTTTCCCCATTAGATTTTTTTAGCACTCATGTCAAAAACTGTTGCCTATATTTATAAATGAAGTTTTATTCCATTTGTTACATAATATCACCTGTGGCTACCTTTGCATTACAACAGAAGAGGCTGAGTAGCTGAGATAGAGACCATATGTCCCATAGAGCCAAAAGTGTTTATTGTTTGGACCTTTACAGGGAGAAGAAGAAATCAGATTATATTATCCATTGGCTTTTTGGGCCATTTACATGTTAGAGGAAGTTCTACAATGAGAAGAACCAAAGAAATTCATCCCTTGTGAAATTTCCAGAAAGATCAGGCTTTCCAACCATTCTCCCTCCCCAAATGATGGGTCCCAGACATGGGTAGTCCTGAGGGACTTATTTGTCGTGGATGTTATGTCTGTCTGTGTTCTGTGCATACTAAAAATGGGAAGGACCCTCACCACATCAAGGCTAATTTCTTGTTTCTTAATTGCCTTGTCATAAATGAGGCTATCTGACATCCCTTGCCAGTCAATTTTGAAAAAATATTAAAAATAATAAATAGCTTCACTGAAATCTGTTTCTCCACAAATATTACTTAGGGAGATATTTGAAAAACTTGTATATCTTTGAAAATGTTTCTTAAATGCTCACTAGGATGGTGGCAAGTGTTCAGGACAGGATCCTTCACTGATAATATGTGAAACTAATTTTTAAAAGAAACACTATGGTCATTTCCCACTTGCTTTCATTCTAAGGCCAACACACAGAAAGGTAACATTTACTCTCTTCTTTGTCCTCAGGGTGTTAAGGAATTAGCAAAGCAGGTGAAGAGCTTGCCAGTGGTCAATTACAACCTCCTCAAGTATATTTGCAGGTAAGAAATGTCCCAAAGACAAAACTAAACAAAACGAGACTGTATTTAGACTGACACTAATTTATATTTGCCAATGAATAAAATCACTTAACTGCTCTGAGCTCCACTGTTAGTGCTCAATAAATATTATTTTATTTCCATTTGTCTCTCACCTCAAGACTCAGCGAAAGACATTTGTAATTAAATCCTGTTAAAACAATAATTATGCCTGGTAAAACTCTCTTTTGGTTACCATGTTTAACTCATGAGATGTCCCATGTCTGTGCCCCTGTTTAAGAAACCAAAGCTGTAAAATTGAAACTTATACTAATAGTAGATTTAAATAGAGATTGAGGATTGGCAGTACAAGTCACTTCAAGGTGTCTTAAGTGAAAACTTTCCAGTCCATTTCAGAATAAAATTCAAATGTTTAATTCGGCACAGTACCTCACTTACATATGCTTTTGGTGTCCTGATTAGATAAGTGCTCGGCTAACTAGGAGCTATGAAAGTGTAGGATTTAATGCTACACACTGTGGAGTTGATTGTCAAAGTAACTGAGTAGGAATTTCAAAACCTCCCACCTTAAGGTTTTCCGGTGATGGTTGTACTTAGAAGCAAACAGGATCTTGAGTTTCAGAACTTGAAAAAGCAAGAAACTGTGTCACTGACAGAATAGACTTCTTAACATGTTAGGCTTTAACCCCAAGATTTTTGAACTTACTGAAGTTATCGTAGTAGGTGAGAAAAAGGTTACATTCCCCTTAAGTAAAAGGGATAAAAGGCTTGTCTGAGAACTATCTTGCAAGTCTTATGTCCATGATAGAAATACTTCTGTTGAAACATTTAAGCAGACTTTTAATTTCAGGTGTTTCGAATAAGAAAGCTGGTTCTTGACTTTTTGCCTTCGGTTTTGCTGTCGTTTAGGCTGCATAACACTCCTGATCCTCTGGAAATAGGCATCTGTTTAAAAATCCGTGGCTGAGAATTTAATAAGTTAGCACCATGCCTGGCACATAATAGCACTCCATAAATGTGCTACTTTTATTTTTCATCATTTTATCTCATCAGTGTAATTAGCAAGCCAGGAAATGATGGCAGCTCTTGTAGAAACGAAAAGGAAGTGGGGAATGAACAAAGGGTGAAAGATTACAAAAACAATCTCTCCTGCTATTTTGTGCCTCTTACTCCCTACCACCTAATAAACTGAAATAATTTATGCTTGCAGTTTTTTCTATCAGTAGAAATGATGTTTTAATTTCCATTATGTTAGATTGAATTTTTTAACTAGACTATACATAGGAAGCTCACAAGTTACTTAACAAAGAGGATGGATTCCCCCTCTTGAAAATAGGGATGGCACCAGATGATCTTATATATAGTTCTCCAATTGAATATGTATATAATATTTCATTGAGGGATTAGAAGGTAATCTATATTCTTGACTATCAAGTCCATATTAGTATTGTCCAAACACACTTGTTTCTTTGGTTGACAGAGGAAATCAAGCCAGGGCGGGCCAGAACAGATTCTTTGTAAGATCCCTAAAATTTGATCCTCCATAATTTGTAATATTTTTTTTCCACATCTCAGTGAGAGATGTTTGAATATCCAAATAATTTTGTCTCCTACTCATCTTTGAACATACTCCGATTCATAAATTCCCCAGTGATCTATTTTCTACCACTGATTAATTTGACCCTATTGTGTTCTGATCCTATGCTTACACCCGACAGGTTCTTGGATGAAGTACAGTCCTATTCTGGAGTTAACAAAATGAGTGTGCAGAACCTGGCAACTGTCTTTGGTCCTAATATCCTGCGACCCAAAGTAGAAGATCCTTTGACTATCATGGAGGGTAAGCGATTATCTCACACCCTCATCAAAAGAAGAATCAACTGTCTCTAGGTCGGCCACAATTTATTCTCCTCTTAGAAAATGAAGGCAATAAGTGGTTCTATGGCAATTCCACTTAGTAACTCAGGTTCTTCAAACGTAAAACCTTCTCTTTGAGAGTCATGCCATTTTGTTTCATTTACTAAACATAAAATTTACTGAATGCCTCCCCAGTAGCATTACGAGAACTTCTATAAATCATCTATACAGTATCATGTAAGAACTGAAAAAAATCGAGTTCACTTTCTGAGTCCAGTGCAATAGTTAGAAAATTCAAATATTATTAAATAATATTAATTAAATATTAAATATTAAAATAATAAATAATGCATACATTAATATGTATTCATTAATTTTGGTTTTATATGACTGATTTCAAGAGGTAAGGGGATTTGATCCTTTATAAGGTAAGGTTACCATCTCGTTCCAGTCAGGCCACTGTAACAGAATGCCATAGACTGGGTAACTCATGAGCAACAGAAATTTATTTCTCACAGTTCTGTAGCTAGGAAGTCCAAGATCACGGTGCCAGGAGGTACAATATCTGATGCAGGCTCATTTTCTGGTTCATAAACATCTGTTTTCTCACTGTGTCCTCACATGGCAGGGAGGTGAAGGAGCTCTCTGAGATCTCTTTCATAAGGACACTAATCTCATTTATGAGGGCTCCACCTTCATGCCATAATTACTTCCCAAAGGCCCCACTTCCAAACACCATCACACTTGAGGGTAGGATTTCAACATATGCACTTGGGGAGGACCCAAACATTTAGCAGTAAGAAGGACTATATCTGAGTGAAAATTTTGGTAAGGTCAGCGATACCAGGGCATACAGGAAAGATTGGTGGAAGAATGGCTGGAAAGATCTCACGATATTTTCAAGGCCTTATAAACCATTCTACATTCAGGAATCTTTGTTAGTTATTGAGCAAGAGAACGTTGAGCGAGGATTTTTATTTCTGAATAGTAACTCTGCCGGTTGTAGGGATTGGCTGTGGGAAGACAGGGAGAGATCAGATGGAAGGAAGGCCTTGACTCTCACTTGCTTTGAGTTCCAAGATGGAATTTGTATTTGTGCTTATGCCTCTTAGTCTTTTGCCCCACATTTTATATAAAAATATTATAATTTAATCAAATATACTCTGAGGCTGAAGTAACCCCTGAGATGCAATAGGTGTGTGGAACATTAGCCTGATCTAAGAGTCAGTTCAATCCATGTGTAATGGTTTTGTCTCCCATCATGTGCTTTTATTATAGTTTCAGCAGCAGGCTGGAGTAAAAACTGCACAGGTTGGCTAATAAATATTAAATATTTACTGACTCACAATATTTATCTTTACCTTCTTTTCTCATTTTGGTAGATGTCTAAATGAATTAAACTCATTACTCTTGGCTACTTACATGCTACCTGTAGTCAACTGATACGAATTCTATTGAAAACGTGACAGTGCTTTGTTTTTTATCCTCTTTCTTTTAAAATTTCTCTCTTGCTTTAAAAATTCTCTATACATTCCTTATTATTACTCTTTCTTGCTACTATTCAAGTATTGATGTAGCCATTCATGATAGCCTTGTTATATAATCATATCTATAGCTATATGATAGATATGCGTTTTGAAGAAACCCTTTGAAGACTGTTTTCAGCATTATTTTAAATTACTGCCAAACAATATTTCATTCTGCTCCTGTTATGATGAAGGAAGAGAAACTGGATTTACTCTCCAAAATCAAACAACTGGAAAACCAGGAAAAATGTATGAAATCGCAGTTTGTAGACATTGGACTACAGGCAGTATGTGACCATGATTGCTAAGAAAGGGAAACAGAAGAAGAGAACCCAGTGACTGCCCCAGGTCACTGCTGGAAGGCAGTTTCCACTTCACACCACAGGCAGGAGAGATGCAGACAGAGCTCACGGCTTGCTGAGCTGAAAAGAGTAGGATCAGACAATGAGAAGGCCGAGGGGGCTAGAATTTGGAGGAGTAGGGAGCAGAGAAGAGAGAACTAGACACAGAGAGTTCAGAGATCTACAGAGAGTAGATGAGAATTGGTTTCTGTTTGCATGAGAGGACACTTCACAAAACTATTATCTAGAATAGCCCCAATAATTTGAAAGTGAAAAATAAAGCTGAACATATACAATTTGATTTCAAGACAATATAAAGCCAATAAATAATCAAGATATTGTGGTATTGGCATAAAGACAGATCAATGTAAAGATCAATGTAACACAACAGAGAGTCCACAAATAGACCCACACATGTGGTCATTTGATTTTTGATAAATATCCCTTTTCAATGGGAAAGGGATAGTCATTTTATCAAATCATGCTGGAACGACTGCATATCCTAAAAAACAAACAAACTAACCTCAAACCTTATCCCCCGCCCCCCAAAACATACACAAACTTGAAATAGATGTTAGACCTAAATGTAACAGTTAAAAGTACAAAACATATAGAAGAAAACAGAAGAATTCTTGTGACTTTGAGTTACTCAAAGACAGTACACAAAAGGCTCTAACTATAAAAATACTTTTAAATTTTGGATATGTTGGACTTCATCAAAATTGAAACTTTTGTTCTTCAAAAGATATTCTCAAGAAAACAGAAAAATAAGCCACAGGCATGAGGAATGTATTTGCAAATCACATATCTGATCAAAGAACATGTTTAAAGAATATATAAAGACTTATACAACATTAAACGGTCAACCCAAAGAAAAACTGGCAAAAGATTTGAAATAGGCACATCATCAAAGAAGACAGACAAATAGCAAATAATACATGGAAAGATGTTCACCATCTTCAGTCATTAGAAAAAAGGAAAATTTAAACCATAATGAGATACCACTACACAACCCCTATACAGTATAAAATTAAGACTGAAAATACAGCAAGTTTAGCTGGTAGAAATGCAAAATATTAGAGCCATTTCACCAAAGAATTGGGCAGGTTATTATAAACTTAAATATACATTAATCCTAAGACCCAGCAGAGCAATGTGCAAAATATTTACTCAAGAAGAAAAAGAACATATGTTCACTCAAGACTTATAGTCGAATGTTCATATTAACTTTACTTATAATAGCCCCAAACTGAAAATAGACCAATTCTCCACCAACTAGTGAATAGATAAACAAATGTGGCACATCAATAAAATGGAATACTACTGAACCACAGAAAGAACGAACTGCTGATACATGTAACAACATAGACAAATATCAAAAGTATTATGCTAAGTGAAAAATGCCTTGTCATGAAAGGCTACACAATGTATACTTCCAATTATATGAAATTCTAGAAAAGGCAAAACTATAGAGGTAGAAAGCACATGAGTGGATGCCATGGGCCAAAGGTGGGTGCAGGAGATTGACTCCATAGGGGCCCAAGGGAACTTTTCTAGATTATGATTAGTTCAATTTCCAGGAGTGTATACATTTGTCAGAACTCATCAGATATTTTGCATATATCTCTGGACACTGCAAAGTTACACGTATTCAGCGTTATTCGTAGCAAAAAATCCAAATTGAAGTTATATTGCATAGAACACTGCTCATTTATATAAATATATATATATATATTTACGTTTATATATTATATTTTAAAGTGCCTAGGCATCTTTGAAGAAAAATTGAATTCTTACGCAATGCTTATGAAGAGAAGTGCTTATAATACGGTATTTAGATTCCACCCGTGTGATTTTATATGAGCCAGGGAAGAATTGCTGGGTCCTGGGGCACAGTGAGGCTCTAGAATCCGCTCGGACTCTTCGGAATGGGCTGGTGATTATAACCACCCTGTCCTCATTATTTGGGCTTAATGTTCCTCATTGGCATTCTAAGGAACAGAATGACAGAGAGGAGGGAATAAAAAAAGGAAAAAAATGGTAATGCCCGTAGTGACATACACATCATCATTACTACCCAGCTAGTCTGTCCTAAATGGCTATAAAAATTCAAAGAAAGTCCCTTTACAAGGGATTATTGCCATTTATTATCCCAGAAAGTAGACGAAATCAAAGCCTCCCAAGATACCATAGAGTTCTAAATCCCCAGAGGCCTGACACTCACTCTGTAACCGTGGCAGGTACACTTTGGCATGACCGCTCACAGACTCATCACGGAGACCTTGGGGATGTCACTCTTCAGTTAATTAAATGCCCCACGCAGTTCGTAGCTATGATGGGAAGCGGTGATGCTTCAGATGTTAATGGTCCAGTGACGGGAAAAACGTCCCTTTTCCCAGAATACTGGGCAGAATCATGTATAATGGAAGCTGCAGACCTTTGAAAACGTGTGTCTGTCACATAGGCAAATATTAAAATAGCATTAAATGCACAGTGTCTTCAAACACAGCACATAATAGTGACAGTGTCATTTTAAGTGCTCTAAAATCCTTTCATTAGATTCACCGCTTCATGCATTGAAAACAGGACGACAAATTCAGAGGCTACTAAAAGAGAAAAGATGGATGTATAATACAATTAATTTCATTCAGTCTTTTTTCTCCCACCACTCTGTAATAACTATGATTAATAGACAGTTGTTTCCTATTTAGGACTACCCCCAGTTTATTATCACTGCTACAGTTTCAAAATCCAGCAGCTGGAATATAGTAGGACAAAGGCATGATTTGGAAGAAGACGACTGAGTATTAAATTTCACGTTGATCACATCCTCTGTGTGGCCTTGAGCAAACAGCTTAACCTCTCTGATGCTTATTTTCCTCACCTGAAAAAAATGTTAATTCCTATCTTTCAGACTTCTGAGAAACTTAATTTGGAACGTGTAAGTGAAATATGTGCATCCACCACAGTGTCTCTCAAACCCTAACCCACCTGGGTCTCATCTGGGGATGCCGTTAGAGTGCACAGCTCTGATTCAGGTCTGCCTCGGCTTCTGAAACCTTGGAGCTTTCAGGCGATGCCGGCCCTACTACTCTGTTGTCGCTGGTGTCATCCGGAAGCTGGTTAGAAGTGCAAAATCTCACGTTCCACCCATTCCCTACTGAATCAGAATCTGCCTTTTAACAGGATCTCCAGCTAATTTGTATGGACATTAAAACTGGAGCAACACTGGCCTAACAGCAGGCCTGGCACGCTGCACATACTTGATCTCAATACAAGTTTTGATTCATCGCAGAAAAAGCGTGTAGAATATAGATGAATATAACATATTTTTGCTGTCCAATATTTGGTTTTGGATTACGTTTCGCTGGTGTTGCTTGATGCTAGAAAGTGGCCTCACACCACCAGGTCAGGTTCCTGCTCCCCGACAGCCCGGCTAGCAGCTGACTGACTGGAAGTCTACGTTGCCAAAAGCCCTCTTCATCATTTTCTTTGCCAACCCTGATGTTTTAAGTATTTTGTATAGAAAATACATTTACTAACTGAAATTTAAGTTGCTTCCCTATTGTATGTTTATGTAAGGATATTCTTAGGAGCTTTTATCAACCTTACATAAACATATTTAACATACCAAATTGAGATAGTTCAAGCCAAAGCAAAGATGAGTGAAGTCTGCATTAGCCCATACTGCTTTATTGTCAATACATGAATAAAATTAATACTGAGTAACATTCCTAGTGGACTGGGGGCCCCAAGTTGGGAAACTAGTCTAGAAGCCTGGTTGTCGCAGTCAGTTTTAGGAGATGGGAGCCCAGCTCACTAAATCAAAGAGGAATATGTGAAGATATAGTTTGAGATTTTAATTGATGTGCCATAGAAGCTGATAAATCACTTGATCTTTTGAATCACTGCTTTAAGTAGTAGATCCATTGTTTGCTCTATTATCTGAGTTATTTTTATTGTTTGTAAATAGCGGAAGCATTGGTTTCTAATTCTAGTTGCTTTTATGGTGAAGAGGATTTTCGGAGGTCCTCACTCCACCATTCTGGCTAAGGTCACTTAAAATGCCCTAGAAGCTTTTGAGTGGTGAGTAAAAGGCACATGGAACTTCACTGTCTTGCTATGTTGGAAGGCCACACACAGATTGTACAGAGTTCTGTTTAAAGATATCACGCAAGTGTCTTGATGGTTTGAGACTACTGTCAGATGAGAGGTTAGGGTGACCTCCTCCTAAGAAAGATTCCCCATAGTTGTATGTCGAACTTACAATAAATGTTACATAATTATTGAGAGCCTGGTCTTGGAACCGGATGACTCTAGGCTTGCCCCGAGTCCGGTCCTTCATCGCTCTCTGCCCTTAGTCAAGTTACTTCACCTTTACAGCACAGCGATGAAAACCACCTATCTCTATAGTCAGAGATTTCTTCCAAAATCCGACTAATGTGCAAACGCAAAGTGCTTGAAACAGTTCATGGCATAGAATAAATATTCAAGAAATTTTAGCTTCTATTGCTATTATCGTTAAGAATATAGTTTGGCGATGCTAAGGCTAATGACGAATGTTCCCCTAAATGTGTGTCTTGAGTGTCCTGTTCAAACCAGGAAACACGGCAGGACGGCGTCACTCACGCTGCCCGCGGTCTGTGCGATTGCAGGCACGGTGGTGGTCCGGCAGCTGATGTCGGTGATGATCAGCGGGCACGAGCGCCTCTTCCCGAAGGACGCGGAGCCGCAGAGCAACAACAACGACGACGCCGCGAGGAAGGCCGGCGTGGGCCAGGCGCAGAACAAGGAGAACAACAACACCACGGACGGCCCTGGCAGGCGGTGCTCCTGGGACAGGCCCGAGTCGCCGCAGAGGGGCGGCCTGGACAACGGGCCAGCCGCGGCCGCGCCCGGCAGCAAGGGCAGCAGCCCGAGGAGCAGCGCGCACCAGCCGGACGCCTGCAGGAGCCCCCCTCTCACGGTCAAGAAGAACCCGGCCTTCAGCAAGGGCAGCGGCATCGTCACCAACGGCTCCTTCAGCAGCAGCAGCGCCGCCGAAGGTCTGGAGCGCACCCAGGCCACCCCCAACGGGAGCCTGCAGGCCCGCAGGACCTCCTCGCTGAAGGGGCCGGGCACCAAGATGGGCACGCACAGCGTGCAGAACGGAGCGTCGCGCGCGGGGGCGCTGGCCGCCGACGCGCTGGGGAGCCCCGCCGGCGGCCGGGGCCTGGGCTGGCTGCCCAACGGCTGCGTGACGCTGCGGGACAGCAGGCCGAAGGAGCAGGCCGGGGAGTCGGGCCAGCACCACAGGCTGTCCACCTACGACAACGTGCACCAGCAGTTCTGCACGCCGAGCCTCGACGACAAGCAGAGCGTGGACAGCGCCACCTGGTCCACGTCCTCCTGCGAAATCTCCCTCCCCGACAACTCCAACTCCTGCCGCTCCTCCACCACCACCTGCCCCGAGCAAGACTTCTACGGCGGGAGCTTCGAGGACCCGCTTCTGGACGGGCCCCCGCAGGACGAGCCGGCCCGCGCCGGGGACTGCGAGGGCAGGGCCGAGCGGCGCAGCGTGGGCGGCCGCAGCAGCCGCGCCACCAGCAGCAGCGACAACAGCGAGACGTTCGTGGGGACCGCGGCCGGCAGCCACAGCGCCCTGCACAGCCTGGTGTCCAGCCTGAAGCAGGAGATGACCAAGCAGAAGGTGGAGTACGAGTCCCGGATAAAGAGGTAGGCGGCCTGCAGGGCGCCGCTGCCCAGAGGGTGTGCACAGGGGCACACCGGGTTAAACGCCCGGCTCCAAAGCCGGGCGGACTTGGCTCCCCGCTGCGAGCTGCGGGGCTTTGGGGACGTGGGCTCCACCTCTGGAAGCCTCGGTTCCCTGCGGTGAGAAATTTAGATACTAGTAGTCTCTGCCTCCAGTGCACGTGAGAGGCCTCTGAGCGTCGCCCCGGGCGAAGAAGGGGTGCTCAATAATGGGGTCTCTGGTCAGTGTTCGTTATGCGGGTTTGCATTACAGGGCTGGAAGGACGGGGGCTGCGAGGAGACGGACACAGAAGGGGCCTGCTACTTTTCACTGACAAAAAAAAAAAAAAAAAGGATGAAATGAGGGCAAAAAAAAAAAAAAGTGTAGAAGTAAACAGGTGTTCTTTTTGGTTCTTTCAATCACTGAATGCTGAGGCAGCATCTCTGTCTCCCAGGCTCAGTTCCAGATCCTGAGGGTTCCAGCAGCTCAGAGGGGTAACAGGTTGCAGGTGACACAGCACCGACCTGGAGGGCGTCATTTTCAGTCCTGACTCTTACTCTGAGACAGGGCTCCACGGAGGATTTTGAGAACACGGGTAACAGGAAGCGTGCTCACATAAACAAGGGAAACTAGGGCCTAAATGGAGAACAAAGATTACGACTTATAAAGAATCGGCCATGCTAACGCCTAACTTGTATCAATTTACATCTTCTCCTAAGATGGCCAAGGTAGAAGCAGCCCCTCTCGTGGTCTTGGCCCCCGTTTCCAGGCGTGTGATGGGGGCACCTCTCGGGGTGTGGTATAGTAGCATCCGCGATAGGTTGTCCTGCCTCAACTTCTTCCACAGCTCCCAACTCCACAGTTTCTTTTATATGTATACAAAGTTGGCTTTAATTTATCTTAGTATTTTCCTATCCATTTATCAATTATCGAGCCAAAAGGTAACATGTTTTCAGAAGCTATGGCAAAGTAAATATAAACAAAAACACTACTTAGAAATGCAATTGAGAACTTCTTTGGAAAGTATTTTTGGTAGGTTTTACTGAATGGAAGCATGGTTTCACTCATGCTGAATGACAGGAGGTTTAAATAAGAAAAAAAAATAGGGTGGTCATCTCAGAAGGTTACTCTTCTTTCTGATGTAGTTTTTGGAATCAATAGCTACTGGAATTCTGAGCTGCTGCCAATGCATGGTGACAAATTGGCCCTCAGCACTGGGGACCAGGTCTTTGGAGGAGGGACAGCACTTCAGAGCTTCAGTAGGGGAAGACAAAAGTGACCGTTCTCCAGCTGCAGATGTGTGTACTTATTTCTGAGGATCTTGGTGTTGCATGTGTGACCTGGGATCTACGGTTTGTTTCAAAAGGACTTCAATAAAATAGAAAAATCTTTCCAGTAGAGTGCCATCTCAGTGGGCCATTTCACTGTAGCTTTCCTGCCTTCACGACAGGCCAAGGAGAGGTCTGCAGTGGCGCAGGGTATGGGCTGCCACCGGCCAAGCCACGGAAATATAAAAGGTTAACGGTCCTAGCTAATTTTTGACCATTCCTGTTAGAGTTATACAGTTTTCTTTACATTTCTTTTTAACTCTACCCCACAAGGATTAAGAATGGATGGATGGATAGATAGATACAGAATATTTTACTTTGTTGAATTATCATTCAATGAGATATGTGTTTTTCAGTTGAGTTTGATGTTCTTTTTTCCGTCTCCAAATTGGTTTCTAACTTTATTTTCTTAGAAAATTTGTATTGTCATCAGATAAATTCATTCTTATGATATCCATTATTTGGTCTGTTAAAACTATTATCTTTTACAACTATTTATTATCTGTTAAAACTGTTATTTTTATTGGGTTGGAATCCTATTTATGACCAGTAGATAAATCTGTTAATCAAGCTGTTCGAATCTTCTACATTTTTCCTAATTTTTCTCAGATTGGTCTACAATTTTGAGAAAAATATCCTAAAATATCCTAACATTATTCTGGGCCTATCAATATCTCTTTACAATTATGTTATTTTTATTGAATAATTTGAGGCTCTCCCTCAAAGTACGAATTATTTATATCTGTCTGATGAATTGGTCTTTTTATTAATAAATCATGTCATTTTAATTATAATAATGCTTTTTGTCTTAAAATCTATTTTTTTCTGATATTAATATTGCTATACTATCTTTCTTTTGATTAGTAAATTCCTAATATATCTTTTCTATTCTTTAACCTTTAAACTTTGTTTCACTATTTGATCTGAAGATACATCTTTTTCAATTCTGGAATATTTTTATCCATCACCTTTTTGTCTCTTTCATCTTCCCTACTTTCTCAATTTTCTCTTTATAGAACCCTTATTAAGACATGTTGGACCTTCTTAATCTGCCCTCTATCTCTGCTAACTTCTCTTTCTCACAGTAAATTTCTATCATCATTTTGTGAGGCTTTCTGGGTAATTTTTCTCAGACTGTTTTGTGGTTTATTAATTCTCTCTTCTGCTGAACAAATCCGCCAACTCCCCAAACCCAAGAACAAAAAACTTGGAAGCCCCTTTTTGAAAAGAAAAGTGAAGGTTCAAAACCCCAAGTTAAACAACTGGAAACCCAAGCCCTTCCTAACCCCGAGGCCTCATCTTCTGCCCCATGTGGAAGAGGAAGACCTAGCCCAGCCTCTGGGGCATCTATCCGATGCCCATTATGTGCTTCTGCCGACTGTTCCATGTTTGAGTTCCTTCCTTTGCTTTGATACCTGAAGCTGTTTTATTTTATTTATATTAACCTTGATTAAGTACTTTTAAAATATATTTCTTATATATGTTTCCAGCATTTTTATTTGTTTGTATTAGAGAGGATTCCTTCTGTATTCAGCTCAGTCCTTCAGATTCCTGGAAGTTTCGTGCAAGTGCCTGAAATGTACAAATGTATCATTATTGTTTTATAAGGGTTTTCTTAGTATTTAAGCTTCAGTTTCTTCCAACATTTTTGGCATTAAAATGGTTTTAGAAGGCAAAGAGGATATATATTGTAGAATAATTCCAGGTGGCAACCAGATTCCTATATAAAAATGTGATTATATGTTTAAAATAGCCTTCTAAACTGCGTAGGAATACAGAATATACAGTTCTAGTTGCTTAAAAAGGGAAGTTAGATTCATTTTTAAGTATTCTTATTATCTGGATGAAATATCAACATAAGGGGGCTCATTTTTCAAAACAGAAAAATAATTGAGATTTTAATTTTAAAATTGTGAGAACAAAATCAGATTTCTGAGAGCTAGACACATATTAGCCTTTCAGATTTAAGTAGTATGGTAAACCTGAATGAGCCTCATGGGACTTTAGCTCAGAATAGAAGAAATTAAAAAGCCAGCCATTACCAAGATACATGTTATACTGAACAAGTATTTAATACTCCTTTTTAAAACAATATATGTGTATGTTTTGGATTTTTGTGGTCATGAGAAAACACGCTCTCTGTTTTTAAAGAGGTTACCTACAACTCTACAATTATCCAAAAGAATATAGCCTATCAATTTATAGCGATATAAAGTGCCTATATCCTAAGATAGATTAACAACTTGGGAAGTGGTGCAAGTTGGGGACAGGAGCCTACTTGGATGGGTCCATTTTTGCAAAATACCAGGCGGAGCGCTTATTTAACACAGGCAGTCTTTACCTCTGTTGCCAAGGCTAGCTGCCTACTTTTGCTACCCTGTTATGCAGCGGGACTCTATCTGCTCCAGGAAAGCCCATTTTTAGCAGTGACTTGATCCAGCAGTGTCGTTTTTCTAGCAGTATTTTTCCTCTGATAGAAAGCAAATGTGATCTCCCTCTTTTTCTTCCAACTTTATCAGACTTTCCCCCTTTCGTTTAGTAAAGTCAAGTCTACATAAATATTAAGGAAGCTTTCTGGGTTGAGCTCTCTCCTGCTTCTTTTCCTTGCTGACGTTCATTCATTCACTATTAAATGACGGCTCAGCGCTGGGGGCCTAATTACTAAAATGGTTGTAATTACGCCTTTTAAATCACCAGACCTTGTTTTACTGATTTAAAAGGGCTTTACTCCCAGTTTCTAAGCATTGTTGAGAGTTTAGAAAATATTGGTACTCCGCATCTCAAGTGAATAAAACCACTTTGTCTCTTACTCCCCCCCCTCATCCTTTGTAGCTTAGAACAACGAAACTTGACTTTGGAAACGGAAATGATGAGCCTCCACGATGAACTAGATCAAGAGAGGAAAAAGTTTACAATGATAGAAATCAAAATGAGAAATGCTGAGCGAGCAAAAGAAGACGCTGAGAAAAGAAATGACATGCTACAGAAGGAAATGGAGCAGTTCTTTTCCACGTTTGGGGAGCTGACGGTGGAGCCCAGGAGAACGGAGCGAGGAAACACAATATGGATCCAGTGAGCCTGCTCCCCCGCTGTCTCCGAAGGCCGGGGCAGAACTCTGGGGACTGTGGTGGGATGGTACATGGGATCGGGTGGCTGGTCACCTGGCTGTACAGAGCTCTAAAGTCCATTTCCAGACATCAACCATCCATAGCCGCGATGTGTACCAAAGTTATATCATGCCTCATAATGCTACTGTCAAGTGTTACAACTGGATATGTGTATATAGAGTAGTTTTTAAACCATAAACTAAAAATGAGAAGCATATTGCAAGAATTATTTTATTGCAAGTCTTGTATTTAAAATGTTAAATCGATACGTTGTTGCAATTTAGCTTGCTTTCAAGCTTCACCTCTTGCACTTAACATGAGCTATTTTTGGCATTGTGTTATCATCAGCTTATTTTATAGATCAATATTTTTATTTCCCTTTTTGCTGAAGAAATGAAGATAAGCAGAAATATAAATATATAGAGATATATATAAGATGAGTTATTAAAATCAAAAGAAAGATACTTTGTGGCTGTGCTATTTGTGCCGATTGACCTTGCCATGACCAAAAAGAGAGATGTAAATAGTTTTATAAAATACAGTAGAATCACCAGGAGCCTTTGAACTGCTCTTTCAGTTCTTCTTCCCTTGGCACTTCTCAGCTTTGTTTTGTGAGATGATTGGATGTAGAAATTTTGAAGCTGCGTAAGAAAAGCCCCCACCTCGAGCCCCCTGCCTGCACTACCAGACCCTTGGATGTGTATCTTCTATGCAGGAAGCTCCTTACAGGGGAAAAATGGTACAGAATGGCATTTTACCAGCCATGCCTTGAATCGCCGTGTCCTGACTGCTAGATGGGTATTAGAGGAATTCTTCCTGCGGTTGGGAAGTTGGGAAACAACACGTTTAACCCATGCCTGTAGGAGCACCTGTCCCCCACCTGAAACCTCTCCCTGCCCCTCAGCAGTTGCACTTGGGAATACCAGCAATGGCGTGGCATCACCGTGTCCCTCTCAGTGAAACTGCTACAGTGTGTACCATACGGTGACATTTTCCTCTCACTAAGGCTGTTGCAATCTGGGGTTCTTTCTGCACCATAGCTGGGAAAGTGGCTTGCAGCAAGAGGAGGATGGCGGGTGGGGGTGGGACATGCAGTTTGGGAGGAGGACCAGAAGGAGGAAGAGAAAAGTTTGGAGGAAACAAACTATTTTGCTTTGAATTTTGACAATATCATCCTTCCCTGTTAAAAACATGTTCATTCACAATAATTTTAAATCATGAATGTTTGAAGGTCCAATTTTGACAAATGTGAACATCAGTAATGCTAACTTTTTAGAAAAACCCAAGGCTCTCTGGAGCTAGAGTTTTGGAAGAACAATTCTTCATACTATAACAAAAAAGCCACAAAAGGCATAATTGGAAATAAAGACTATATACTTGAGTTCATGGAGTTTGTGTTGTTTCAAGGTTGTAAGTTTGTGTGTGTTTATTTTCAAGGGGGACATGGTCTTGATAGCAGTCACTCTTGTCACTGTCCTGCTTTTGTTTCTACCTGCACGCTGAGCAAGCGTGGTGTGGTCGTTTGGTATCAAGCAGTAACTATGTAGCGATAACTTCTTTATCTTCAGGTCCACTTTCCAGTTATTTAATCAATTACTTCCACGTGGATATCCCACAGGAAATTCAAACTCACAATGTGCAAAATTGATCTCAATAACTCTCCCTCTACACCTTTTCATCTTTTTCCAGCCCCTATCTTAATTAATGAAAACCTCAGACTCACCCAGGAAGTAATAATGCAACAGGAATAAAATAAATGTTATGCAGTCCAACTGCTTGGGTTCAAATTGTCTACAATTTTCCAGCTGTTACTGAACCTCCAATGCATAACTTTTCCCTCTGCGCAATGCGATTGGAATAATAAAAATGCTGCTCCCACGGACTCGTGATGTGGTCTTAATAAGATAGCTCGTGCTAGGCTGAGCTCAGCAGCTAGTATACAGGAAGGACTCCATAAACGTTAACTCTTATTTCTTACTCTGCCTTCCTCTTCATTCTTAAATTCTCTCACCAATTAGACTATCCCATCTATGCCTTTTTAACCACTTCGGTACGAGCCACAGATGAACGCCACAGCGACTTTAGCTGACAGCCGTGATATGACTTTTCTAATTTTTCATTTATCAAAATAAAATTGTGAACACTTAAAAATAACGTAATGAAAACATATATGTATATGTTACCTATTTCGATTTACATGACAAAGCTGTAAAGTAAAACAAGCTCTCAGTGCTTTAAAGCTTTCCTCACCACACAAGAGCAAAACGGACTGGCCGTCAATGCGCAGCACAGGCCACGTGCGGCTGTGAGCGCCGGTGTGGGCGAGGCGTCGGGCCGGTGAGCCCCGGACCGAAGTGATTAAGGAGCAAACCAATGTCAGTTCCTCCAGGAAACTTCCTAGAACCTCAGAGTCATTTGCCTTTCGTGCTTTACAATTTGCACACATCTCCTTTTAACCTTTCCCACATCTGTCTATTTTCTTCACCAAATACGAAGCATTTTAGAAGAAGGCATGGCGGGGTGGAAATGGCAGAAAACTGAGAGCCATCCAGACTCGGATATGCATCTCAATACGCCTTGCGCGAGGCGCACGGCACGGACAGGTCACTGACGGCCTCTGACCTCTCTGTAAAATGGAGATGATAACCCGCACACGGTCGGGACGTCGCAGTGCTGAAAGGTGGCAACGCGCCTACCCCACTGCCTGCCACTTGGCCCCACTGATAGCTCTGCTCATCAATGGAGCTTCTCAAGGGATTTGATCTTATGGATCTTAAATCCCCCCTCTCTATGCCTTATGCCAAATAGAGTGTCAGCACAAAGAGTAACAATAATTTTTTTGAATGAGAACATATACACGCGCGTGCGCACACACACACACTGTGTTATTCAGCCTTTGATATCTGAGGGATCCCACTGTCAATTTTAATTATCTACCTCAGTCATAATGACCTCCAGTGGATGAAAACCAGGAGCACCATGTTCAGCTGATTTCCATTAGTTCAGCTAAAAGCCTAGAAAAAAAAAATCAACTGCAAATTAACATAAGAATGAATTAGAAATGAGAAAGTAATTAGGAGGCATCAAGAGTTCATTTGCTTCATCTTACATTAATTAAAATTATTTAGGTAATTAAAATGAATCTTAAACTATAACTTCAAGAGAAAGGGTTTGCTTCTGGGTGTTGGGCCTACTGTGTTCCGCTAGTCCCACTGTGTGGTGGGGCGTCCTTTGGGGAACATTTAAAGTAGAATTGCCTGTCACCTCAGGCGCACTGAAACATGGATTTTACATGCAACAATATGAAATGACTAAAAACTCTAAGTGGTATTAAATACTCATTCTTGTTTATTTATCCGCAAGCTGGAATCTCCCTCAAAAAAAAAAAAAAAATTAGATCTTTCCCAGGTAGAATAGTTGATATTATTGACATAATTATGTCACCTTGAAAATTCAGGACAGCATTAAAGAATGTGAGGCTGGCCACAAACCCATGTTCTTCACACCGTGGAGCTGCAACCTGATCAGAAGAACCACACCACAGAAAAAAATACGCATGAGCTTTTGGAATCGGAGACCTGGGTTCAAACCCCTCTCTCCAGCGTAGACTACATGGAGGCAGGAAGTTTGCTGACTTCATCACAGCTGCGTGGACCTACGACAGTCTGGAAGATGGACGGGCCCAACAAATATCCGTGGCATGAATCAGTGAGTGAATGTCTACAGCTCAATGTTCAGGATCAGATGTTCAGGCATGTTCTGAGTTGGATCTTTTAACAGAAAATAAAAAAATATCCAAATTCTACATTATTTTAGGGCTCCAGCAGTCACCAACAGACCGAACACATTTCAGAGGTCTGGCTTCGTCAGAAGACTGTCACTGCCAAGAGACTCCAGCACCGGTTGTGCTGTCGCTTGTTGATCTGCAGGTCGTGATGTCCAAAGAACAACGAGCTCAGCGTCCAGCCTCGATGGCTCCCAGAGGAGCTGGGTGTAACAGCAAACCTTCCATAACCAGGGACGAACACCCATCGGGGGGGTTTTAAATATAAATTTTAAAAATGGTTTCATCTCCCACAGTGTAATGGAAAATGTCCAGAATTGTCTTACTATGATTCATGAAGTGTACTTACATACTATTAGACGGAATGAGAACATTGAAAGAAACAAATTTCTTGTTTCATTGCTTTAAGCAAATAATTAAACGGACTCATTCAAGGCATACCACTAATTAAAACACGTTATTATTTTTTAAAAAAGTAAATAAGTGAGATAAAGTAATTTTGCTTTAACTGCTTATTTTTAAGCAAAGATTTATTAACTCTGAATTTTTGAGGCTAAAGGCCATAACAGATTTGTCTCCTACACAGAGGTATTCAATAAATGTTTTTGGAGTGAATTAACGAACTGCTTTATAATGTAGCTCAGAAGTTAAACTAGAAATTCAGAGCTATCTTCTTAGAACTTGATTTATGCCAAATGCAAGTTTTCAATATATTAACATTAAGGAAGAGGCAGTTGCTTTTTGAAAATCTTCCTTTTATTGAAGAAATGCTTTAATATTATGAGTTCCCTTGGTTCGTGTCAATTATTTGCATTATAAAAATTGATTTTTTTGTAAAATTGTTCATAGACAATATTTTCATGAACATGGTTTTACAAGGGTTAATGGAAGGTAAATTATGTGTGAGACACCCTTCTAGGTAGAGAGTGAAGGATTTTTTAGATGAATAACATTTTGCTTTGTTTTGTTTTTGCTTTATTTGTTGTTGTTTTCTTTTTTCTTTTTCTTTTCTTTCTTTCTTTTTTTTTTTTTTTGGAGACAGAGTCTCACTCTGTTGCCTGGGCTAGCCTAGCTGTGGCGTCAGCCTAGCTCACAGCAACCTCCAACTCCTGGGCTCAAGCGATCCTCCTGCCTCAGCCTCCCGAGTGGCTGGGACTACAGGCATGTGCCACCACGCCCAGCTAATTTTTCTATCTTTAGTAGAGACGGGGTCTCGCTCTTGCTCAGGGATGAACAACATTTTGTATCTACTTTTCAGCTGCAAACCATCCGGACTATTGGTTAAACAGAAAGATGCCAGACAAGACCAGGTGAAGGACATTACTGTGAATTCTATGATGAGGAAATAAAACCACCTGCTCCATGGAGTGAAATTTGAATCCCTTAAATTACATCCTAGACTTATTTTGTGTTGGGTTCTATACCAGGATATGAATGTACTTAAGATGACATAAAGAGTGTGGTAAACTTCAAAGGGTGTTTAACTTGTGTCTGTGTCATGGCGTTCCGTGCGTCTGAGAAATGTAACCCCCACAGCGTGTTTTCAGTGGTTCCCGACAGGAGGGTATCTGAGACGGCGGGAGTTCAGCGTGTTTCACCACGTGCAGGTGTCTCCCACGCACGCCTTTCAAGACCCTTGGAGGAAGGCACGCTACCAGCACACACCTCCATTCCGACGAATTGGTAATGTCAGAAACCTCGACCTTGGCCACCACCCAGGGCCGACATCGAGCAGATAGACTCATCCTTCACAGCTGGTTGCTTCATAAGAACCTGCAAGCAAAGTAATATCCAAGACCCCTTTTTTCTTCTCACTGCAAACTGGGTCAAAATTACCAAGTATTTGCTAGCCCTTTATGGCATCAGGAAGGCAGCAATGCTCCTTCTGCCCCTTTCTCTGCATGAACAATCTTCTTGTGGAATTCAATTTCCCTTCTTACTATTGTGGGTAGTTGCAGGTGCCTAGGACTGACCACTTTTTAAGCTTATTTTTTAAAGAGATTTAAATTTAAATCTGTGATTTAAGTTAGAACAGAAGTAATCCCAGAGATAATGAAAGGCCGTTGGTTTCTATTTTCCAACAGAAAATAAATGAAAGGATAAATGTGATAACTCAGAAGAGTAAGTATGTTTATCTTCCAGGCTTTCTAGTAGTTAATTGGTTAGGTAAAACGTGGTTTACAGAATTAGAAGGGCCGCTTCTCAACATCATTCAGACACTGCCAGGTAATCTAATGCAAGTGTAGTGACCTCCTCATCAAGCCACAAAATCATATTTTTCAATTCTCCGAGGAGTTTTAGATATTGAAGTTGGCTACTATGTAGACAAAAAAAAAAAAAAGGCTTTTGCCTTTTCTCTTGGAATATAATTAAAGTGATTAGGAATTTGATAATTAACCTAGGACGTTTAACCCTATTCTACTCACCTAATGCTCCCAGGAAATGATCTTTTTTCCTTCATTGGTTTCATGCCTTAAAGGAAACTTACTGAATTAAAGCTATACAGCTGGTATCTGCAGACAGAAATAAAAGTCACTTTTTAGAAGAAACCAGTTTCCAATGAAAACAGCATTCTACGTGGTCACATTCACATCACACACTCTTGACCCAGGGTGAGAAAGTAGGTCCATCCTTATTTCTTATTTATTCCCTGGCACAATCAGACCATGGACAAGTTTCTTTCAGCGGGCGTCAAAATGCAATCACGCGAGACCTCTCGCAGGTGCCGCGAGCACACGCAACCCAAGACAACGAGCAGCAGAATAACCATTGTCAACAGGCGAACTCCAACAAAGTCTGGGTTTGGATTTGGTTTTATGTTAAGGGAAGCAGATTTCCTCTGACTTTAATGATCCATAAGAAACAGAAATCACAATATATCAATTCAGCATCCACCTACAAAGAGTCAAAGAAGCCAAAGTTCTCCCCCAATTCATCCTCTTGTTCCACAGACATTTTGGAAATAAAGGGGTAAAAAAAAAAAAAAAAAACAGGAATGAAAGAGTGTGAGAAAGAACACAGAAATGATTTGAACGATTTCAAGTCCTTTTTAAACACCGTTGAGATTGCATTTTATCCATCGGGCTGGGCTGGCTGACTTTAGTTCTCACAGCTAAGACCTTGCCAAGAAACTGGCCGCACGTGGTTTTGCCTTCCAGGGTTTTCCTAGAACTGCAAGGGTGCAGGTAGGTGACTGTGTGTGTGCATGTGTGTGTGCGTTAAGTCCATTTTATAACAATGACACAGGACAATTCCCATTATTGGTATAGTCTTTGGAGTCCAATCATGCAAAATAGCAGGCAGGTGCAAGTTAGGTCTCATTGCAAGATGGACATGGCAAGGTGAACAGATTATCCCAGATAAGGTTTGGGAGATTCGTCTCTAGTAGAATATATACTGGCCATTGGTCCCACATACTCAAAAGTTAAATATACAGGAATCTATATATAAACAAGAAGCCCCCTTACTTCAGTTTGATTGACCAAAGAAATAGGTGAACCATTTTCAGACAGAGAACTAAGTTCCAAAAGAAATAACAAAATCCTATAGTTTAATCACAAGGAAAATAACTAATATAACTATTTACATTGTAACTTTTTTGTTGTTTTTACAGAAAGTTTCCCTGCTTGGTTTAGTGTTATCTGTGGAAAGTGTTGGACTCTCATAATTAAGATGTGTGTGTGGACTTGTGAGTGCAACCTAAGGTGGCCGGGATCAAAAATTCCTAGAGCCATTTCACTCCTCTCTCTGAGCTGTGGAAGATGTGTTTTTCAGCAAATACGGGTGACACCATGCCTTACAGAGCATAAGATGTGGATTTTCATATGTAAAGAGATTCAAGTAGAAATAGATTTTGAATAATTTAGGTTTTGCAGTGAATATTTAAAATTCAAAAAAGAAATTAGTTTTGCTTATTTTTCTTCCCCTGAAAGGTCATAAAAGGACTTACATATTCTCATCTATTCTACTTGTTCCATTTGCCAAGGACAATGTTCAGATTGACTAGTCACGTGTTATCAGTATCTTTAGACAATATTTTGCTGATAGCGATAACAGATGGAGCCGAACTACCCAGCTCCTCAGCCTCCGGTTAGGTGGCTTCCCCCAGCTGGCGGGAAGTGGCCGGGCCCAGCTGTGGGGTACATTCCTACAAAGCTCAGTCATCAGATTCTTGAAGATGAAAGATTATTATCGGTTTTTATCCCACAAGAAGAAATTCTGTTGTAAGGCCAATGTATCTACCACTTTTTATAAAAATGAACAAACTGACCCACAAAATGCACATAAAAATAGCAAAAACAGAGCTGAAATGGTGGTGGTTCGCCTGACCCTCACAGCAATCAAATTCTCCCTGCACCTGGGTACACAGCCATCCCTCCTATGAAATACGGCAAAACAGTTCGTTAAAGATCACTGCTAAACCGAGTGCCCTAGAGGAAGTGACAGAAGGTTGGGCTCTCAGAGTGCCAACTTCATGCTCCAAAATGAGACCCAACCCCAGGCAGGGCCTTTGCCCTTTCCAGGAATATTGTCCAGATGACTTGACAATTCCCTGCCTGAAAAGTAAGAATGTTCTTGGGAAGCAACAGGTGACTACAGAAGAAATATTCGGTATTTTTTTTTTAAGAAAGTAAGACTCGATGCAGCCATAAACATTCTGGTGCGGATGTCTTTATAATAAATAGAGTGACTTATGCTCTTTTGGGCAGATGCCCAACAATGCTATTGCTGGGTCGACTGGTATTTCTATTTCTAGCTGTTTGAGGTATCTCCAAATGCTTGGATTAAGCTTAAGCCCGTAATACAAAGCGAGACGACACAAGATCTGGAAAATGGGCTACACATCTACTCGCCATCGAATTGGTGCTGACTGGCTAAAACTATGGTGCTCAAAAAACGGTAGAGTTCAACAGGGACTGTGGGGGGGAGACCCACATCTTAGGGATGTGGCGAGCATTGTGGGGGGGGGAAGGGATTACCTCTATCCCTTTTTAGGGAGAGGTAAAGATATACATTGTAACCAAAATGTCTTAAAAAAAACTGTTATCGGGAAGTGGGCAGGGGGAAGGGGGAGGAGGGGAAGGGTGCGCACTTACACGGGGGGTGCGGTGTGCACCGCCTGGAGGCTGGGCACGCTAGAAGCTCTGGCATAGCGGGGTGGGGGAGGGGGCGCAGGGGCTAGATATGTAACCCTAACAATATCTGTACCCCCATAATATGAGGTAATAGAAAAAAAAAAGACTCGATGCAGAATATGATATATTCTGCAAATTTGATAATAACATAATCACCATGCTAAAGATTTACCTAAGACGGTGAAGGACTGGTGGGCTTTTAGAGTCATTCTTTTAGAGCTTTTGGAGTTATTCTTTGTTATTCCATCGCCTGTCTTGCTTCCATCACCTGGCAAAATCGATCCTGCAAGAAGTCCGGGGGCCAAGGCCTTACCTCTGTCTGTAAATGATACTTTAATCCAAGGGGTTTGTTCCAATTTATTTTCTTGTCCACAAGGAGGACCTGGCTGTGGGTAATCAGCTCTCAAGAGCCACACAGCAAGAAACACAACACTAGCTGAGCTTCAGGAAGGCGGCAGTAGCAGGGGAAGGGCACTGTCTAGTTCTTGCCTGGTTTAATCTGAGTGAGAAAAGAAAAAAAGTCACCACTTCTGCAGATGTGAGAGAGAGTCTAACTGTCAAGTGCTGCTAAGATGCTGGCTGGAGACACCCTTCTGCCTCGTGATGGCACATGGGGCTGATGAAACCCCCCCGTGGCTCTCTTTCAAGCAGCTGCCTCCTCTCTGCATTTGGTCCCACGTGGTAGAAAGCCGGGAGTAGAGAGGCCACAGATACATCAAGGGAAGAGGACAGAGAGAGGAGATGAGTAAAGAATTAGGGAGACAGAGGGGAAAAAAAAACAAAACAGGAATGTGACAGAAAGAAAAGTCAGGGAACACATGTGAATGAGGAGGCGTTTTTGAAAATCAGGTTGTCTGCAAGATTAACCAAAGAGAATGGCAGCGAGACAGAGAGAAACGGGGCCATTTCTATTCCACGGGACAAGCTGCACAAGCCAATGTTTTTCTCTGCGTCTTAAACAAATAGCCTTTTGTCCTGAATCCCAGGGCCGGTGGTGGCACTGCTGACATGGGGGTGGTGCGGGGTGGCAGTCCCCTGTCGGCTCTATTGCTTGGAGAGAGACAGAGCTTCCCTGTCGCTGTATTTAAGGCAGTTTCCAGCGCACGGGCATTCTCGTTTACGGGGGGACTCCATTCGCCAGTCCCGTCACACTCGTCAACCGTGGGTTTCCTGCGTCTCGCTTCCTCCTCGGGTGAAATATCACCACACTGGTGAGCACCGAAACGGTCCGAGTGCGAATAACTGTGATGGACACTTCCCCAGAGCCAGTGAGGAGGGAAGCCCGTGCCTGGGACCTATTATTGCTGAGAAGTCACCTTGGCATTCACTTGTGGATGGCCAAGGTGTTTCACAGTGCCTCCTTAAGTGCACAGAAAAGCATTTTCATTTAATTTAACCTAAATTCAGGAGATTTTTGCTAGACACTGACATTAAAGTTTCATGGCTTTTAAGACAAACTCATATTGCTAAAGCCGCGCAGCAGCAGTGACTATGGGCAGGGTTATCGCTCTCATAGCCACAGCACCACGAAGCTCAGATGGTCAGCCCTTCTTCGATTGTTCCAGCTTATGAAAAGAAACAAATGGACACGAAACACCAGCCACATGAAGGGGCCAGGGAAACCCTGAGGAATGACAACGTCTCTGGAGCTGTTTTCAAATGCTAACCTGAGGATCACCCTGTGCTTTGGGGGTTTTTTATTTTTATTAATTACTTTTTTTTTTATTCCAGAAGAGAAAAGTAATACTTTTTCTCAAAAATAAAACTTTGGCAGGGTATGAACTTGGGAAGGGGACCACAAGTGGAAAACACAATGGACAATCTGAAAGTCCTCTAGGTAGGCTCATTTCTTCTGTTGAAGGAAACCATACGGAGGCAATTCCGCTCAGTTCTGGGGAGAGACTCTTGCCATCAGATATGTACACAGTGACCCTGCCTTGCCACCTGCCACTTTCTCCAGTAGCCTCCCGTTGAGACAGATAATTTGGAAATGACAAATGGGGTCAACTCTCTAAAATACGGATGTCGGTGTCTACTAATGTCTGGGTAACAATCTTGTTTCTATCTTAGTCCACGTTGCAACACTACTCTCTGGTCTCTCCCGCTGTCTGCTGTCACAGGAGAGACCCCCAGCTTCTACTCACACCTGCCTTCTAGAAGCCAAACCACGTGGTGCCTGAAAACTCTTGTCCCCTCCCCCCACACCTTACATAAGCATCAAATATGTTCTTTCTACAGATTGGTACACAGGTGCCATTTAATCAGTTCAGATTTGGAAGCTACATCTCCGAGGGCCCAAGAGAGCTCACTCCCCCCATGTTTTCCCCCTTTACATGTTTTCTTATAAGACATACAGCTTAATCAATTAACAAACTAAACAGCTTATATACTGGCAATATATTACAGATGGGTTTATGTCAGAGTAATAGATCACATGAAATGGACCAGGTGGTACCCGGGTGCACGGTGTCTCGGGAGAGCCCTGAGGACACTGACAGTAGCATCTCTAAGTAAGTGGTGCCGTGTGAATACAGACGCATGCGGATCTGTGTCTACATCCATCTGACTAGGCCGCAGGAGCAGGTAGATGCAAGATAGAGACACACACATGCTGGACGGGGCCACTGCACACCTTGTCATGCCATTCGAGAGGGCAGTTACAGGTTGCTGGTTTTGCAGCCATTAGAATTACACTTTACGGAAAAGGCTTCCCTAATTGTGTCTGGTTTGCTCTCTGTAGTAAGCGCCGTTGGGAGAAGACCAAAGCAAGAGCAACTAGAAGTTAAATATGCGTTTGAGCTTAGCTGCAATACAGGACTCTGGGGAAGAAGCAGGCTGAAAGACTGGTTTCAATTTTAGGCTTGGATGCTCTCCCTTGCCGTTTGCTCGGTGTTGCGTGTGTGCGTGAGTGTGTGCGTGTGCGTGTGTGTGCTCCATCACGTCATCTCCTGAAGAACGCTGGGTTTCGCAGGCAGGCGGCTAGTCACCTGCAACAACCCAGGGGTCCTGCCGAGGCCTCCAGGCTGCTGTCAGTGTCGGACGCCAGGGTCTGGTCGGTGGACATGGAGGAGATGTCGTTGACGGACGAGGACGGAGGGAGACTCTCGCTGCTGTTCACTGCTGCACCTGTGCTAAGAGAACGAAGACCAACATGACTAAACCTAGAACCAGCCCGTCTTCGCGCCATTCAGGGTGCAGGGCTGGGCGAACACAACAGGGGGTGTCTAGCCCCTCACCCATTTGATGAACTTTCATGAAACAGCAATACCAGGAATTCTATTAGATTTCAACCAAATGAAGACAAATCAAGACAAAAAGACGCAGCATTTCTGGTCCCAGTTACTCACAGGCTAGTGCAGTCGTTACCAAATCTCACTCTACATTAGAAATCACCTGCAACACTTGGGGGAAAAAAACACTAATATCCAGTCATTCCACCTCCCCTACTCCTGCTCTTCCAATATTGCAATATAATTGGCCTTGGTCCAGGCATCTGCAATTTTTAAAAGCTCTCCAGAGACTGCCAAGGATAGAAAAACCCTGGTTTATGGATAAGATAGATGAGCAAAATCCTTTAATGTAACCGTCTGAGCCTGGCTGCTTTTACTGCAGGGAGCTTTCAAAACAAACACCTGCAAGGGTGTTTTCCCAGAAGTATGGGCTGAGCTAAAGTCCAGAAATCTGAATTACCTGGAGACTACGGCTCTAGAGCAAGGAGGCATATAAAGTAAATATTATTAATATTCATTAATATGACATCAAACCTAAAATACACATAGAAAAGCCAAGTAGGACTTTGGATGAAAGTAACCAAATGAGGGGAAACAAGAACAGGAGTGGGAATAGCATAGCATTTGATTATTGTCTTACTTTCCAGATTACCTAGGATCTCCAATAAGAACTCTGAATTTTTAACTTGGATTAATTTGGAAAAAAAATCTTTTGTTTATCTGCCATGTGGAAACATAAAGATTTTGAAACTCTGAGCAGAAACTTGCTCACAGTAATCACTCAGCAAAGGCTTGCTGAGTTACAGTAGCTTTGAGAACAGAAGAACAATGAGAAAAAGGCATTACGTAAAAATATAATTAAACCACGGCACCCTGGGAACAGTAGATTCACTTTTTCTTTTCATATATTCATTACACCTAAACAACCTGAGAGGTAAAATGTTTGCTTTGTGAAATACTTCACTATTAAGAATACCTGTAATAGAATCACCTAGTAAAATAAGAGATGAGGAATTCTCACTAGAATTGTAACTTATTTGAACAAATATAGCGTGCAAGAAGTATTTAGTGCCAAATAATAGATCCAGAATAAGTTACAACAGTGTTATCACACAGACCTAATAAATCAGAAAGACAAAACTAAATTAACGAAGTGGAAGGATTAACAGTCTTCTGTGTTTCTGGGACAGATATTTCTTGCCCGTGGAAAAAGTGTCATGAAAATGTTGACAGTATCTAGAGAGGACAAACACCTAAACTAAGACAGACCGTGTGTATCTATATGTATTTTAAAGTTGTATTTGTTGATTATAAATATATTTATGTAAACTATTAGAAATGTAAAAAAATAAAATACAGAAAGATGCATAATGATATGCACTGATCCTCCAATGGATGGTAAGAACTGTTAAACTCTTGGTATATTTCTTTCCAGTCTTTTTGCTAGGAAGTTTCCCTACCTAGTTGTGATCATTTAATATGTATTCTTCCGTATCCTGATATTTTCATATACAGAAAAGCTTGGGCATCTTTCACGTCCATTAAATTCTTAACATTGTCCATGCTTCCTAATCTTAAACATCTCTAGAAGAGACTTTTAAAGTGCTCTTGTTATTGCCTTCCTGCAAATAATTACTTTCACTCTCGGAACGTGTAATGTAAAGTTATCTGTCTTCAATTTATCCCAGCTTTATTAAATTGCATCCCTTATAGATATGGTGCAGAGCTCGCTCATTTCCTCTCGTGACAAGATCTCATCTGCCAGCACATGGCCCCGGATCCCCTCACGTCACCCAAATGCCCAGTTCTGGTTTTTTTCCCCCTGATTTTGGTTTAAATAATAGCTACAGCCTTCTTGTTCTTTTATAACTTCTGGTCTCCAATAATTTAATGTCACTATGATGAACTTCACAGAAGCTTCTTCAATTTTTCCACATCCTTATAAAAGGGTAGAGATTAAAACTGGGCACAGGACTCTGATAAAGGCCTGATCAATTGCGGTCCCGACACAGTAAGATGGCTTTTTCTCTTGCTGTCCATTTCTCTCCTGGATGATAGATTCCTACACTATGGAACGGCTTTCAAATCATGGTGCCACAGGTTTACATTTAGTTTTGACTTCAGATATAAAGTGATGCCCATATATCTTTTTGTAACAACTTATTAAGGTATAATTTTAGATCTCACGCTAAGTCTATGCTACATTTTGAGTTCATTTCTGTATAGGATACGAGGTGGGGTCCACCTTTATTCTTTGGCATGTAGGTAGCCAGTTGCCCCCACGCCATGTACTGAAAAGACTATTCTTTGCCCATCAAAATTTTCTTGACATCCTTGTCAAAAATCAATTGATTATAAATGGGAGGATTTATTTCCATTGAATGATTTGTGTATCTTCAGGCAAGTAGCACACTGTCTTTAATATTGTACAGTAAGTTTTAAAACTTATTTATAGTAAGTTTTAAAATCAGGAAGTGTAAATCCTTCAACTGTGTCTTTTTTAAAGGTTGTTTCAGCTATTCTGTGTGCCTTACATTTCCGTGTGAATTTTAAGATCACCTTGTCAATTTCTGCAAAAAGGCAGCTATGATTTTGATAGATATTGTGTTTAATCTGTAAATCAATTTGGGGAGTATCATCACCTTGACAATATTAAATCTTCTAACCCATGAACAATCAAATGACTTTCCATGTATATAGGTCTTCTTTCATTTCTTTCAGCAATGTTTTGCAATTTTCAGAGTATAAAGTTTGTACTTATTTTGTTAAATTTATTCCTAAATATCTTTTTCTTGTTGATGCTATTATAAATTAATTATTTTCTGTTCATTGCTAGGGTGCAGAAATACAACTGATTTATTCAAATAAGAAATCTCTGTGTCTTATGGTTTGGAAACTAAACTGATCAAATGATGACATACATATCTTATGAATGTTATAATTAATCAAAATGTCCGTGGAATCAGAAATATTTTTGCTGCCATGCTTTATTTAAATTACAACACAATAATAAATTTGGAAGTTTTAAAATAAAGTTTTGGCATAATGCAAACCAAAAAAGTATCTCTACATAACAGTCTTGCTCTTCTCTTGAGATGGGCTTTTTGTCCTATCCTGGCTGAAGTTGATTATGTAGATATGTTCTGACTGTCACAGTCAAAGCTGAGTAATGATCCAAATAAGAGTGCAATAAGATATAGCTGAGATAAGGCTCCCTTATAGGAACACGATTTGATGTTTACAAATAAACACAAACCCACAACAATGACAGCTAGAGAAATTACACAAAGAATATTGAGGAAATTTCTCTGGCAAAACACAAATTTACATGTATAAACAATACCGAATAAAGGCAGCAAAAGCCAAAGTAGCTTTTAGTAAGTTCTGCACAAACAGGGTATTTTGCTGCAGGTTATGCTTATAAAATACACAGCACTCCTACTGCACTTATTTTAATAGCTGGCATATTCTCAGCACACTTCTAGAATATTCTGAGTGTTATGCCATACAAGGCAGCCGCTTACTACACATACAGCTTTGTTATGGGATTACCTCATGTTTGTATTTCCCTGGCTTCCTTTGACTTCTTTCATTATATTGTACTTCTTTATTTCTCCTGTCTTCCATAATATCTACTGCTGAGTACAAAGTAAGTACGCAATTTAACAAAATGGTATTGAGTATCTTTTACGTGAACTCTTCCAGGTAGGTTCTGTGAGGGGAGCAAGTTTCTCCCTGCTATTAAACTAAGTGAAACTGTTAAAACTATTTTTTGGCCAAAGGAAATCATTTTGTTTCCCTATCTTCTCCCTTTGTTCGTCAGCTGGTTCTCTGCAATCCTTACCTTCTGTGTTGGAATGAGCCTGCCCTCTATTTTACCAATGTTGAATGCAAATTACAATTAGTGTTCAATTACTCAAAGCTCGGAACCTGTCCAGAGTCTTTATCACCTGTAAATGTAGGAGTCTATAGACTATTGTTGCTGATTATATATAGCACCAACTCTTCCAGTGCTTCTTTTATAAAATTCCCATTACCTCTGCTTGCTTTATGGGAATGTTCCTCTCTGGATAGCGTAACGGTGGGAAATGATGTGCCCTGTCTGGTGGTGCTGGAGCTAGCTTTCAGTGGCTTCTTAGCATCCCTTTCCAACTTCACTTTCACTGATATGTCACTTTGGTAGCTTAAAAGTGGTCACAGTGAGAATATTTACACCATAGAAATTGGTAAGTGCTACTAGTCAATTCTTGTTTTTTTTTTTAAATGATAGTTGCTAGATATTAACCAGCCCACCGTTGTTTTTTTGTTTGTTTGTTTTTGAGACAGAGTCTCGCCTTGTTGCCCAGGCTAGAGTGAGTGCCGTGGCATCAGCCTCGCTCACAGCAACCTCCAACTCCCGGGCTCAAGCGATCCTCCTGCCTCAGCCTCCCGAGTAGCTGGGACTACAGGCATGCGCCACCATGCCCAGCTCATTTTTTCTATATATATTAGTTGGCCAATTAATTTCTTTCTATTTATAGTAGAGACAGGGTCTCGCTCTTGCTCAGGTTGGTTTCGAACTCCTGACCTCGAGCAATCCGCCCACCTCGGCCTCCCAAGTCCTAGGATGACAGGCGTGAGCCACCGGGCCCAGTCAGCCCACCGTAGTTAGATGAAAAATATCTGCCTCTGTGTGTCTCCTCTACTGCACTGTGGGAAATGCCTCCTTGACTGCAGCACCTTCCGGCTTTACTGGATGGTCCGTTCAAGCCTGTTCTCATGTGGGCAATAAAGAAGGCTCGTAAACCATAGAGCCAGCACAGATATAAGGGACAAGGCATGGACCTTGGCTTTAGGTTGTTGATTTGCTGCCAAGTAATTTGTGAAAATCTCTTAAACAGGAATGAACTGAACTGAGTCTGATTACAATGTCTGCTTGTCCAGGCCATGTGATAAATATCCGTTCTGTCTATGTTACTTAGGAGAAACCAGTAGAGATACATATTTAAAACCAGTAGAGATACATATTTAAAAACATGTTTCACAGGCCGGGCTCAGTGGCTCACGCCTGTCATCCTAGCACTCTAGGAGGCCGAGGCGGGAGGCTCCCTCAAGGTCAGGAGTTCAAAACCAGCCTGAGCAAGAGCGAGACCCCGTCTCTACTGAAAATAGAAAGAAATTAATTGGCCAACTAAAAATATAGAAAAAAATCAGCCGGGCACGGTGGCATATGTGTATAGTCCCAGCTACTCGGGAGGCTGAGGCAGGAGGATCGCTTTAACCCAGGAGTTGGAGGTTGCTGTGAGCTAGGCTGACGCCACAGCACTCTAGCCTGGTCAACAGAGTGAGACTCTGTCCCACCCCCCACCAAAAAATTGTTTCACCATCAATAAAGCATCACAAATTTTTGTCACTGAAAACAAAATTAAAAGAAACTGAAAATAGTAATAGGGCTATAAATGAGAGATATTAGCTGCTTTCAACTTCCTTAAAAATAATTAGGCTTCACATAAAGAAGTAACTTTTTGCTGGTGAAAATTTCTCAACTAGAAGTTATCTAATAAACATATTCATCATCTCAGGGGAAAACATTGTTCTTCTTTTTTAAAGGAAATTATTTTGATCCCCCCCAACCACGACCACCAAAAAGAAAAAGGTAGATGAAAAGAATTAGGAAAAACACTAGAATGGCAGAAATCACTGAGCTATAGTCCATTCACTATCAATATGATCTTGAGTGTCAACTTATCTGGTTGATATTTTTTAATAAAAATTAAATAAAATTATCAGACTACATTAGAGACCCTAAGACATACTCCCATGGTGGGGAATATGGCCCACAGTGGGGAAGGGGAGGTTGTATGTTAAAATCACCTAGGGAGCTTTGTCTTTGATTTAGAGATTTAGACAAAGCTCTGCCCACCCTTATGCTCAGCGTCCTTATCTCAGTAAGTCACTGTTGCCGTGGGAGCATTCCTTCTCAGGGGGATCAGGGGCAGGTGGCTAACGAACATGAGAGTCGCTGAATTAGATGGCCTCCTATATTTGTTATAGCACTAACATCCTATGACAAATGCTTTTAGAAGAAAATTAATTTCTATTCATGGACTGCTATTCCCTCAGCAATCTTTACAAATCAATTCAGGAAGCAAGCAGCTATGCCATCCTTGGAAATAAATCACTATGCAAGTGAAATCAGATAGCGGAAGGGAGTACAATTATTTATTTAGAAATGTAACTGGAGTTTAGATTTATTTCTTATTGATATACAACAATTCCATCAACAAATTTCAAGCCTATAAATTATCCTACAAGTGCACATTTAACTTCCTAGTTGCATTTTAAAGGCATCACGGTAACATGGGTCTGGGTATGAGAACCCTTGCATCCCCGAGGAACTGCGCTGACTTATTCCCTTGCTGCGGGACTCCCCGTGTTGCCGTACCTGGATAGTAAGAGTCCAATTGTGGAATTATGTTACCCTAGCTATTTAGAAAATGAAATATGCTAGGCAAACATTAATGATAAAATGTGAATATAATGAAGAATGCAAAAAAGCTGACTTTTCAAACATGTTTTTTTCAGTAATTGCTTTTTCTTTCCAACATAGTTTACTGCACACACACACACACACACACACACAGTGGTGCACCAATAAAAATTTAACAGTTGGCTCTCTAGGAGAGAAAAAAATTCCCTAATTGGTAGGGTCTGCCAATTTCCATGTTGTAAATCCTCCATGGCTAATTTCAAGCTACCAATATACCAAGAGTAAACTCCTAGCTGAGAAGAGATGTACACAATTGGCTCCCATGAGCTGGTAGTGTTGGCTTCAGTACATGGCAGGTCTACACTCTGTCCATGATACATGGAAATATATCATACCAAAATGTGTCATATAATATGTGATATACATATGATTTCTCAATTTTTCTGCAAATGCACATTTAACTTCCTATTTGCATTTTTAAAGCATCACTATAATATGGTGAGAGTGATAATCTTAAAATCTTTCTTTCTTTCTTGTCGTAGACATTTTTCCTTTAAAACTATATAGTTAAAGATTGAATCCACAATTGTTTTAACTATAAATTGGTTAAGCCAGTCAACTATTGTTTCGGGCACGTGTATATGTAGATAATTGTCAATTGTTACAGGTAGTTGGAACAGTTAAAAAGTGGCTGAGCCTTCTCATTTAGGTAAAGCCCAAGTGGCAGATTTTAGAATTAATCATTAACAAACTAAACTAACCAGGACTACAAAAAAATTCATGGATATGCATTTCCCATAATGAATGAATCAAATAACCACCTGAAAGCAGCAAATCTTTATCTGAAGCATGAACAAACAAACGCCAATAGCAACAATTTATATACTTAATACTTGGCCCATTTATCTTCATGGAGATTAATAGGGTGAATAACATTTATAATAGTGTTATAAGAACATACTAAATTATATACTGTATTAAAGGTCTGATCCTGTCTTGAATTCTGTGTTTGGAATAATGCCAAAAAACAGGCTGAGGGAAGAAGTGAGTGGCCATTTTCAAACTAATAGATATTTATTGAGCTACGACCATGTGCAGGGCGCAGCACCTAGGCACTGCACGGTACACAAAGATAAATGCATTCAGTCTTCTCAACGAACGTACAATCAATAAGGGGCAAAAAACAAGATACCCAATATTTGAAATACAGGGACTAGAGGGACCCATAGGAAGTAAAGATCCCGTTCTTTGGGGACAGATGAAAAGTCTTTTGGGGTAAGATGGTATAAAAGTATGAAGTAATGATAATTTGAACTAAAGATGAATAAAACGGGCCTCCTAAAATTTGTCCAGTCCCAGCCTAAGATGCTAGGTGACTCTTTGCTAAATCCTGGTATTTAAGCTTCTTAATGATTACAGGAAAATAAGTTCTGGCCATTATAAAAATTCTTAAAACAAGGAGTCTTTCTGCCTTAGCAGGTGGTATCTGAGGCAGTGGAATTCCATCTTTGGGTTATGTAATAGGCAGCAGGCAGAACATGCCAATAAGTCAGACACAGCTTCTGCACACTTGTGTCAATCTGGATGCCAGGAAGAGTGAGCAAGGAGGGCGGTGTGGGAGACAGCTCCAGTGATTCCCTTAACCCTCTTTGAGGAAGGGAAAGACTTGGGATAAAACTGGATATTTCCTCAAGTCTACTGGTGAGGAAAGCATGTCATTCTTACCAGCATGACCTGAGAGTATTTTAAGGTTGAAAAAATTCATCACATTTTCTAAAACTCTTTATATCCAGAGCATACATCTTAGGAAGAAAATATTTTAGCATAAATATGTGAACGTAGATGTCTCAAGTAATCCTAAAGCACATTACTAGGATAAGCCAAATATGCATCCATACAAACATGTGTTAGAGATAACAAACTAAAGATTTTCCAAGCTGACTTTAATTAGAGCCCAACTTGGTAGACCTTCAAATCTTGGCACATTAACCTTGAGATGAGTTCAAACACTGAGAATGAATGAGGGAAGAGGTTCTGGCTGGAGGGATTTCTCCACGGTAACTTGATGGTCAAGAGGTCATTATGGTTCTGCATTTTGACGAGAAGCACTTACCCTTCAACCAGCTCATGCTGACATTCCTTCAGGATTCACTACTATCTTAAAATAAGTTCTGAAAAAGGTTTTGTGCTGAATCATTATAATCACGACGATCAGAATGAATGCCACCCCAAATACTGAAATCATTATAGGGAAACAATCATGTGACATTTGTCCATAGGCGTGATGAGCAATGTTATTGGCTACAACCCTTACACAAAGGCCAGAGATTACGCAAGTACTGGTTTCTCGGTTATTCACTGAGAGTGAGTACCTGAAGGAGAAGGCTGTCCTTTTAATACTCCATTTTTAGTCTTTTCTTCTGAATTCATTACTTCCTTGTAGATAAGTTCTGTAAGAAACAGTTATCAGTGTTATTACAGAAAACAAATTTCTCCTTACTCTACAGAGAAATTCATTAGCTAATGAAAAATAATAACATTTTGATGGGGTTGAGGAAAAGAACAATCAATTAGGATTGCTTTATTTCCCTATTTCTCTATTTCCTTGCAATTAGCATAGAGCCTGGCACAAGTAGGTACTCAATAAGAAAGCTGAATAAATGAATGTATGCAGCATACACATTTTACTTGTTTTCTGAATCTTTGGGGGAATTTCTGATGCATTCTAGCTTCATCTATTAAGGATTTTAATGGCTCTGTTTTTGAATATCCATTTTCTTTTTATACTCACTCCCTAGGAAATGCACATTTTCTCACGATTTTAAATTATTTCCAACCCTTACAATTTCCATCTCTTACTGTATTTTTTTTCCCAGACTCATATCTTATATTTGTAAATCTAAACTTGCCTAAAACCCAACACATAAAAAAAATTTATTTTGTTAATTCCCAAACTAGCATCCATTTTTGGCTTTCTTGTTGCTAGAGTTAAATTAGATATATTCAGTCCTTTTTTACTTTGCTCCTTTTATCTAAAAATCATGTAGCTCTACCCATTTTTGCTTTGCAATGGCTTACAATATATCACCATCTTTTAAAAGTAGTCATTTCCCAAATTTCTCACTATTTAGTCCATATCCTCAAATGATGGTTATATCCTATTCATGAACTCCTAAGGATTATCTTCCTGTCCTTACTTAGATCAAAGCAAGACTTTTCCACCTACCATCTGGAATCTTCTTATATGCTCATTTTTCCATATTTACCATGACCCCTTAACAATCCTTATAACATGTTTTTGTTCTTATTCTCTTCTTAGCCTCCCATCTGGTATTTTCCTTTTTTCCTTCCAAATTTACATTTAATTCCTTTAAGGTAGCTTAAAAGTTTCTTCCCTTCTGATCTTTCCTTTATGCTCCTCCCCATTTTATCTGATCACTTGTTACAATCTGCTTTGGTTTTCTCATATTTATTCTGTTGTGTATTAGTTTAACAATTTTTCATAAGCTCAATTTGTTTTTCTGCTTTGTTTCACTCTGAGTATAATCTTCAAGATGCAGTATGTGTTTGGAAACATTTTGCTGAAAAAAATGAATTAATGTAATCATTTATTCCTTTTTTTTTTACTTTAAGAAAGAAATAAGCTACTTAGATACACATATTTTCTATTTAAATCATCAAGACTTGTAAATCCAGTGGAATTCCTGTATTAACTATCTTTTATTCTCTAAAGTCTATAATTATCTCAGAATTAACTTTAATATTATATTTCTTGTGATAATTTTATGTATAAACATGGAAAGTTTAATGCTGAAATTCTAAACTGAAGCTTGCCCCCACCATGATGAACACTTCAACAATCAGTACTATTTAAAAAGAAATCAACAGTTAATTCCTTTTATTCTTGAGCAAATGCAATATTGCTATTAGTATAAACTAACAGATGAAAAGCTTTGAGGATACATTCTGAGTTTTAATTTAAAAAAATAGAATACTTTTTTAAAGTAGAATCACCTTTCCATTCTTCGATGGTGTGCTCTCTTTCATCCAACTGTTTGTCATATATCTGAGGTGGAGGCTGCCAAGTAAAAACAAACAATCAACTTTGCAAACCTAAACATAACTAAGCTCTTAGAATGCATGAGAATACCTTGTCATTGATTAGTTTTGGTAGTGGTCAGAACATTACATAAATTACAAGATAATTACAGTAGTTCAGAAGTTAAAATTTCTACACGAACTTCTCGAGGATTCATTTATATTACAGTATTTGCTGCTCACTAAATAAAGCAGCACAACCCAGATCCTCACTTCCCAACATCTAATTCACAGCCCACGCAGAGCAACTAATCACTGGTCTTTTAGAAAGCAAACAAGACACTTGATTACAACGGTCCAGAAGCTGCTGTAATATCTCTTTCCTCACTTGCCCTATAACAGAGCTATACCAAAACTATCCCAAACTGATAGGATTTTGTTACATTTTTAGACCATCCCTGAAGAAGACCATCCATGGTCTTCTTGCTATCAGACCATGGCACTAGTCCTCAATATAAAGAAATATTTACACCAAAGCCACCTTTTATTTTTCTTGAAGCATCACAAAATACCTTTATATATTGCTGAGTGTCCAATATTTAAATGATTTCAATCTTTTTCCCCCCTCAGGCAGAAGAAACTGCCAGTTGTCTATAGAGGTAAGCCACTTTGAAGCCCTCAAGTGGTCCCCTGCCTAGTCCTCTCTAAGACAAATGACATGAGAGGGACTCTAGTCTGACTTATGGAGTCAGTGTGCCTCTTCCTCTATGGAGTTCAGATGCGGAAAAGGAGAGTTTCACCAACGCACATGCCTTCCAGGAAGGAGAATCTCAAATAAACTCCCTGACCTCTTCTTCCTGACATTTACTTGGGGAGATCTATTGTGGTAGCTTGAATAGCTCCAATTCAGGCTAAGTAACATGGGGAAAAAAAATCTCTTGGAAAAAATAAGTCACCATGAAGAGGAGCTACACTGGCTGACACTGGGTTAAGCACAAAGAATAGCTATAAAATTTAGGGTACCATGACACAGGGGACCCTAGAATTAGTCCTTGTCCAATACTCCAAAAGCAATAGTTTTTGTGAGAAACTAAGAGGCACTCAACAAGAGCAACTCAAGCCCATGAGAACATGGGCTCAAAAATGGCTGTTGTAAGAAAGGCTTTTGGACAAGATTTTCAGAGACAGCCTCTGGCTTCTGTGGGAGGCTCTTTGGCCACTGAGCAGCAACCTAGCGCTAACAGTAGCCCTTCTGCAATGCATTCAGAATCTCTAGGAGCCTGAGTCACGACAGACCCAAATATTCATGCTAGCCTGGCATGCTGGAGCCCCTTCACATCCTGCAGAAGTAGCTGGCTATGAAAATAGAAGACTTTGTCCAGTTGTAGTGAGGCAACTTAGCATAATACTGAGGTATTGAGAAATAACTACCGATGGGCCAGACATTCCTTTAGCATCTCTAAGAGCCACCAGGGCAGAATGCTCTCAACCAGCTCCTGCAATTCACATGTGGCTGGCTGAGTAGCTCTCCTCGGTAGCAGTCAGCACCCTGACAACCAAGCAAAATGGCCCCATGACAATTATAAGAACACGAGAACCCTGACCACAGAAAGGTGAGGGGACTGGGATGAGCAGGCACTGCTCTCAGGACCGGACTGATGTAGGACCTTCCGCCTCAAACTAAAAAGGACTCCCAAATTATAAGAATATTATGACTTAAGACTGAATGAGTCAAATGAAGCTATTTTTGAAAATCTATGAAAATGTTATCTAAGGAAGCTACTGCAAAGCCGAGCAAGCTCTGGTTTTACAAAGACGCTTGGCCAAGTGGTAGATTTCCTGCTTCACCTCTTCCTGAGCATGTGTACTGCTGTGGTCAGGGCCCCACCCAAGTAGCCTTGTCCAGGGCCCTGCAGGACACGTGGGCAGAAGCCCCCAGAGCCCCCAGAGCTCTGTGCACTGTTGGCACCTCTCTCTTCTTCCAACGATAGACTCAGCTAGAGAACCCGCATAGCTGGCTTATTCACGCAGCAGATTTTTCCATTCAAGTTTTAAAACTGAACATGGCTCAAGAGTACAGATCCTGCCAAAGTTCATAAATGCCATTTTCTCTTTGCAACAAAGCTATTTTGAGGAGATTTTCCTTAGAGCTTCAGTGTACAGCTGTTGCTGATATATAGAATACAAAGTACATAGACTCTAATCACAAACAAACTGCAAAGAGAGAAAGCAAAAACCAAGAGGGCTGTAGAGGGCTGCTTTAAGCACACTTGCATTTATAATTTTTGTTCAAGGGCCTCTGCAAATGAGCTATATTTTCAGGTTTTGGTGTTTTGTTTTTTTTTTTGAAGAGGGGATATAAATGTCACCTACAATAAAAGGGTACGCTCATATAAAGATGTCTTTAAATTATGATATTAAACAGTAATTGATTATTGTTGGTTTATTGAATCCAAAGAGAGCAATGTTCTAGCACACACACATACATGTGCTTGGCAGAATCATCAGCGTGTGATGTGTGACCCACAATGTTCCCTGCCTCCATCCGCTAAAGAGCAGTTGGTACTTGACTGCTCAGTTGTTCTCTTTCCCCACCTATGTAGAAGAGTACAATCCTATATAATAAATCTGGGATTGAAGAATACAGATTCTGTTAGAATTCTATGGAATTCTTCCTACTGGCCATGACTTCTTACTAAAGAGATCTCTTTAACAAATATCTATTCAATGCCTAATTGATTCTCCCAAGATAAAAGTTGCTCTTTCTTGTGACTTCATTTTATATCATATATTTAAATAATACTTCACTGAGCAAAATGTGTGAATTTATTTTTTTCTTAGTCTTCAAGACAATTCTTTCTTTAACAGCATTGTGAATGTTAATAATGAAAGAGAGCATTACCCTTGTACAGATTTCAAATGAGAACACAGGAACTCAGAGAGCACATGTGATTTGCCCATGATTGTAGGGTTAATTAGTGGCAGAGTTAGAAACAAAACTTATGATCTCTTATGGGGAAAGATGGAATAAAAGAATTTCTTATGGGTTGAATAAACATTAAATTGGATAATTTGACACTTACTAAAGATACTTACAGAAGACAAATTTGGGCCTGCCATTCTGATTTCTGCTCCAATTTTGTATCCGTCTACACATGAAGCTAGGGCTGGCAACCATCACACAAGAAGTCAACACTTACATTCTTAAATCTGTTTTGTCAAAATATCTTGGACATCAAGACCACTGTACATATGAGTCTCAGAATAGATGTGAACCAGATATGGGAAATCTAAGTTGTACAAAGTTGTTCCTTTTATCCATCTTTGAGCTCTGAGTTGACATTTTCCCCCTACCAGTCATGCCTGAACCATATAACAATCATTTGTCTTCCACTTTTTCCTTCCTAATTAAGCATCGCTCTGTGTTCTATTGCTTTGCTTGTTGTTATTTTTAATCTTTTATTTTTAATTATTATGGGTACATAATAGTTATATATATATCTATGGGGTGCATGTGATGTTTTCATACAGGCACACAATGTGTAGTAATGAAATCGGGGTAATTGGGGTATCCATCACCTCATCTGCTACCTTGTCTAAGATGCCGACGAAAGCTTTAAATATCACTGCCTCTCGTGTGTGCATTCTCTATTAATTTGGCATCTGGACAAAGTAAATGATACTGTGTTTTATTGAAACATGCTTTCTTTTCTTATCAACCTTGGCAGTTTGATGTTTGACAAAAGATGCATGGTTTATTAAAAGGCTTTAACAAAGAAGCTGTGGTGGAAGATAACACTTCCAGGGAGAGAAGAAATTAGGGTGATAAGGAGAGAACTAATAGGATACACAATTCTAAGGGAAGAGAAAACAACCCAGACCCAGCAATGGAGGCTGGAGGAGAATAGGAGTGTTGTCACCATGGAAATCAAAGGGGACAGGTGCAGGAAGGAGAGTGTTGTCAGACTGTTCAAATGGACAGATACATAAGATGCCAGTTTTCTTTGGACTTGGCACCTAAGAGGGCACTGGTGATTTTACAGAAAGCAGTTTTTCAAGGTTTGAAAAGTGAACTAGAGTAATTGTGAGTAAATAAGGACTAATATTTTACAGAGTCTTGGCTATAAAGGTGGAAGACACACTCCCATTGCTAAAGACAAAGGTATAGTAAAAAAAGAAACCTTGGCTTTGATCCTTTGTTCTTTTAAATGAAAGAGGCTAAAGCATGTTTATTTGTATGAAGTAGTCCCCAGTGGAATCTGAATAGTAGGACACACACACACAATAAGGAAGGAAGGAAGGAAGGAAGGAAGGAAGGAAGGAAGGAAGGAAGGAAGGAAGGAAGGAAGGCAGGCAGGCAGGCAGGAAGGCAGGAAGGAAAAGACCCACATGCAGAAAAGAAAGACCATAAACAAAAAAGTACTGTATCCTGGGATTTCCTGGATCTTGTATAACTGACTCTATCCTGGTATTATCACTTTTCTCCTCAACATCTTCATCATCTTAGTACCATTCATACTAAGCTGATTTTCATATATTATCTTGTTTAATCCTTATGACAACCCTCCTCTCCTAAGGTATGCAACTGAAACACAACAAGATTAAATAATATATCAGTAGATGGTGCAGGCAATATTTAAACTCAAAACTGTCTGAATGCAAAATTACAAAATCTGTGTTCTTTGTATTTTTCTACTCAACTATGGTTTACAATATAGTTCCTGCTAATTCAACCTGTTGAAATAAATATATTCAAAGGTTTTGTTAGGCAAACAAAGCAACAGAGATTAGCAGGAAGAAAAGTCAATGCTATTCTCTAGCTGGAGGGACCCTTCAAAAATACTATTAATTAGTATCACAGATACAAATTGCCACGTCCACTCAATAGAGGTGACAAGATGCATGCGGTACTGTGATGCTGCCACCTGGTGGCTAGAAAAAAAACATTAAGTAAGAAGTGCTTGTGTGTGAGTTCATCATTTTCATCAAATTGCTCTACCCTAGGAATTCTCAACTATGGCTGCACATTGAAATCATGTG